AGACATCAGGGGAAAACCAAACTCTAGGAACCAGGGAGAGAGACGAGGTAGGCAGACAGACGTTAGATGAGGATCCAGCAAACAGGAACTGAAGAGGAAGGCTTTTAAAGGGGACAGAGACAAATAGAGGGCTAACGAGGGGATTGAAAACAGGTGAGGGCAGAGCAGAAAACAGAGCTAGGGAAAGAGGACACAAGAGGGCAGCAGAGGACAACAAATGGAAAACCAAGACTGTGACACTGCTGAAGACATCCATTTTAAAGAATTAATTTCTAGTGTCATACATTGCATTCTCATTATTATTAACTGCAGTTTAACCTGGTCTAGATCAGTCTGTGTTGGCTAATTATAGACCTACTGTATTTCTACCCTTGTTTTAAGAAGATTTAGAGATTGTTTTCTGTCAATTACAATTTTTTCTGAATGAAAATTATATTCTTGAATAGGGGTGTGGAAAAATTTTTGGCAATATATTGTGATTTTTAGCTGCCTGATATGATATCGATATTTTAGTTCCTTGTATTGATTTTTTTTTTAAAGCAAAACATTTTAAAACTGAGGGAAACTGGGCCACCTTTGTACCCCGACTCTGGCAGATAGTGCTGTGGAGCCCTCTTGCTTTGCGGCACAGCGCCATATCCGTGGTTGAGGCAGTCACAGTGGAAGACATGGACTGACTCAAACCCCAAACATGGATCTTTTCATTGTATTAATTGTCTCTAGGCTCTTTTTCAGGCAAATATTGAATTCCTTTCCATTTGTAGGCTAATGAATTTCAGATCTTTCCGCCCCTTAAGCATTGGTACGGTTTCCCGTTGAGGGCCCTAGTAGACTGTTTAGAAGACCATAAGGCTTGTATGACAGTGTGGTCCTGCCACTATGCCTCCCAGTGATCAGACACCCTGGATACTTGCCCAGGAGGATTTTCCTTTGGCTGCCTGATCAGCATGCTTGTCTTTCAGATGGGAATCTAGGGATTGAATCATGCCCATGTCTTCTATTGCATACCTTGCCACATTCTCCTAACTTTTTCTAAATTTCAACCATTAGAAAGCTGAAGTATTAGTTTTTTGACCAAGTCACTCCTTTCGCCATAGTATTGTGAATTTGAGAACCTTGACTGCATATTTGAAAACAGCTGTAGCGCATTTGGGGTTTAATTTGAACATGATTTTAAATTTGAGGGGTCAGATTAGAACAGTCGTTAAATCATGTCTTAAGGATTACTTAAATCTGGGCAAACGCTGTACAATTCTCCAGTTTTGCGAGAATTTTTCGATTTGGCCGACTTTCAGCCTCATCGTGTGTCGTGTAGTATACAGGGGGGAATGACGGGGCGTTCAGCCTCTCACGACCACCTCGTAAGGTCAGGAGACAGTCAAATATGTTTGAGATTCAGTCGGCCGCCAAAAGATCACATTAGAGCATCTGTGTGAAAACATGCATCGTGAGCTGTGAACTTTTAAACCCTGTGGTTTGGTCGTACACTTTGAGCTGTAGCAACGATTGAAAACATTGCACAGTGTAGGCCCGGCTTAAGTCGGCAAGCAAAACTTAAATCCTTTCTGTCAAGACCCTTCTTTGAAACAGATATTCATGCTTTTATTGCTGCCTGGATAAAGGACTTTATGAGTCATGCTCTGTTATTTGTTGCTGGTTCAAATCACTGCTGTGTATCTTTTAACAGATACTACAGAAACAGAGCATATTACCCGTGTTCTGGCTCCACTCCATTGGCTCCCCATGCATTTCAGAGGTCGTCTTCTTTTTTTTTAAAGGTTTTTGAATGACATTGCTTCACTGTAGCGAGTAGCGAGCCTTAGCTTTTGACCTTGTTTGTTTTAAATTGGTTTTATTGGTTCTTTTAAAGGTTTTTATACATTATATTGTTGTTGTTTTTCTGTCAAACTGTTTTTTTTTTCTTGCAGTCTGTAGCTGTGTGGAGCACTCTATTTCAGACATAGGCTGTTTTTAAGAGCTTTATAAATCAAGTGGTACGGTATGGTTTAGAGTGGGTATAGAAGACGGATGGACCTGTCATACAATTCTTATCAAAATTTTGCACTAATTTGTTTTTGTTTCTTTTCTTTCCTTTCTACTCAGTTTGCTCAGATTAACTTTGTTGCTGCACCAGCTACTTTATTGTCAGTGAATTGTACTAATATTTATATGAACAGCTAGGAAAGATATTTTAAATCCTTGCCTCTATAATTGAGCCATAGATCCAGCGACCTTAAAGCAAAAGAGTGTTTAGTCTCATTGCTGTCAGTGACAGTAAATCCTGTGACTGAGATCTGAAGGCCCTTTGAGGGAGAAAGTCAGACAGAGACTAATCCCGCTTAGAAGTGCCATCTTTAGGTTTTTACTTGATTGTCTTGTGGTCTGGCTGACTAGAAGAGACAGTTAGATAAGACAGAACAGCTGTATTTATACTGAGGTTAAAGTGTATTCTAAAAACTGGCTGCCTGGGTCAGGGTTAGAGGGTGGAGGTTTATTATGAGCGGTTCTAGACCATTGAATGCAGTGAACATTCGTTTTTTCGTCAGGGTTAATTTGCAAAACCCGTGATAGACAAAATCCTGAAGCAGTAACCGTTTTTTTTTTCTTACAATTATTATAAAAAACTTCCCTTAGCAAAAAGTAGTGTACTTGAAGTAAATTCTATTAAGAATACTTAAGTATAAGTATAAGTTTAGAAAGTATACCAAACAATGTACTTTTAGTGTACTTGAAGTAGTACTAAAATAATACTTCTTTGAACTAAATTGGGACATTTTTAAGTTAACTTTAGTTAACAATAAAGTAAACAATAGTATAGTGAAGTACCCTTGACTGTACTATTGTTAAGTATATGAAATATAGTTTAGAATTACTAAAAATTAGTATAAAATGAGTGCACTTGAATAAACTACTTTTTGCTAAGGGTTGTTCAGGCTAATATCCCTCTTCCTCAATGATCGCTTTAAATGTACGCTTCTTCTCCAGCGGTATTTGCAGAGGCGTCTTTCCGTGCAGAGAAACATTTTTAAGTTCAAAGGGTTTTATTTACATTTTTCAATTCAGCCCTTGTTAACATTAAATGCACTTGGTACTGTGTGAACAGCACCCGCTGATGGCCTGTTATCTGCATCCTCCTCCTCTTCCCTGTCATGAATGTCGGCACTCTCAGTTTGATACAATGTTCTTGCTTTTGTGCAGATAATGTTCATATCCAGCGTAATGTTCTTTTTCTGCAGTTATTAATCCACAAAGTTAATAAAGAGTCCATCCTTACTATGGTCTTGTTGCAGACAATTGCAACCCCTTTTCTTCCTTATTATGTTTTTTTCTCCTTCTTTATGGAATGAACGAAAGATTCATTAATTCAATAATAGGGACCTACAGCAGTATTGCATTTACCCACCGTTAGCATGTCCAGAAGTTTAACTTTTTCTGCAATAGTTAGTATCTTCCTCTGTCTTTTGGGCTCATCCACGAGTGCCTCAAAGGCACTCGTGGATGAGCATTTAATCAACATTATAGTTTTTGGAAAAAAATTTCAAACTTAAATTTGACAAGTTGTTTTACATACATTTACTTGAACCGGTATATATATAAAAAAAAAACAAACCTAAAATCATTGGTATACATGTAGAGAAGAAGTGTGGAGACTGTCTGGCCAATCAGAATGCAGAACACAATGCAAATATATGAACCAGAGAGGCAGTGAAAGTTGAACCGTGTTATAGTGAGGGATCGATTTACGAGGGATCTAGACGGGGCCAACAGGAGCCCCTGTAGAACTGGTCCTGTTATGGCTCCTTCACTGAAAGCATATGCTACAAAAAGTAATGTTTTTCTTGAAAAAGGTGTACTTTTGTTGATTTGACAATCTACTAATACAATACTAAAGTAAATGAAAATAAATATTTTAGCAGATCATTTACCTGCTTAGTTTAAGGGCAAATACAGTCATATTAAGACATTTTTGTATATTTAGATCAGTTGTTGCCATGTAATACTAGAATAATTTGTAATGACGGTCTGCACTGACAGAAAGGAAAACACTGCCAGTCTTTTTGATCTTCTTTTGAGAATGAGATACTTCTTGTTTTGAGAATGTATATCATGATTTTCATGAGTCTTACAAAGTGGAATTTTTTCAGTGCATTGGCCGAATATTGTGCTTGTTTGAGTACAATCTTCTCAAAAGAAAATCACTGATCTAACAGAATCTGCTCTTGCTTAGAGTTTTGGTCTCAAAACAAGATCAGGAAGATTTTTTGGCTAGAGCCTGGTTAGATACCCAGTTTTGGCATGTGTGGAACTGGACTAATTATTCAGCTTTACAATTTACTTAAAGAGCTTCAGCCTATTAAGATACAACATCAATTTTCATCTGTTAGAACAGGTGTCCCCAACTATGACTCTGTTGATTTATAATATCCATCCATCCATTTTCCGTTACGCTCACCCCAAGCGGGGTCACGAGGGGTGCCTATCTCCAGCTGTCTACGGGCGAGAGGCGGGGTACACCCTGGACAGGTCACCAGTTCATCGCAAGGCAACACAGAGTTGACACACACTGACACACCTAAGGAGACTTTATAAGGTCAATTAATCCAACAGTTGTGTTTTTGGAATGTGGGAGGAAGCCAGTGTACCTGGAGAGAACCCACGAATACTCAGGGAAACAATGCAAGCTCCATGCAAAAAAAAAAAAATCCAGGCTGGGAATCGAACCCAGATCCTTCTTGCTGCAAGGCAGCAATGCTACTCATGGCACCACTAAGCAGCCCTGATTTATAACACATTCTATTTTATTATTTTCCTTTTTTTTCCCTGTACCCCCATAGAAAATTGCCCTAAATTTCGCCTAAAACCGCCTCCAAGGGTTATTGAAATAATTTCCTCAAGGTTATAGCAAACTATGCCAGAGAGCCCAAATTTCCAATTAAAAAAACGAGCCCCTGAAAGCAGCACCGATACGACGTAGATTGGAAGTCCGTTTCCTAGCAACCACAGACGCTAGCTTCCCCAGCTAAATTCTCCCTCTTTCTCTCTCTTATAACCTATTTACATTAGCGAGGCAGCTACTGAGGGTTAATGTGTTGGGGTGGTTCGGTTCGGTTCGGATGGATTTATTCTCAGATGTCCAAACCAAACCGTTGGCTAACCTCTCAGCGTTTAGCTACATCCCACCGCGACGGAATGAGCCCAAAGAAATGTCCTACTTCAACACCAGGTCAAAGGTAACTTTATATTTATGCTAAGGCCTAAACTAATCTTACCCCCGAGTCTCTTTACTGTAGCATCCCTTTAAACGATCAAATAAAAATAATAGTTTAAATGCTTCAGGTGTTATCTAGAAACCCAGCTGGCATTTTGATCAGTTGCTCGCTTTGGATAAAGGTTGAATTTTATTTACATTCTGTGAATCTAATCAATTGGAATAGCAAAGGTATTCTGTTATGTTTCTCAACATAGGTGACTTTGCCAACATTAAATCAATAATGATTTTGAGCAAAATTTTACAAATAGAGAAAGTTTCAAAATATCTTAAGTTCTTCTTTTAAACATTTCAACACAGAAATAATAAAGTCGTAGAGAAATCATTCTGGCTTAAACATGTATATAAATGTATTCTTTATCAGACTATATTGTTCCAAAATTGAGAAAATGTCTATATATAAAAAAAAAAATCCTGTCTTGAAATCTTTTTTTTTGTTTCATTATCTTATGCAGGCCAGTTAGTTATACGTCAGATGTTGCATGTAAACGTATATTAGTTGCGACATATGAATCAAGATGCTATGACTGAAAAAATTTGATTGACAGACGGCCGTTTATATATGATTGGCCGAATTTAGGTGTACAAGCTGACATATAACTAACTGGCCTGCAGAAGATAACAACAACAACAACAAAAAAACACAGATTTTAAGACAGGATTTTTTTTTTTATAGACATTTTTTACATTTTAGGACAATATCTCCTGATAAAGAGTACATTTATATACATATTTAAGCCAGAATGATTCGACATTTAAATATGATTTCCCTACAACTTTAAAAGGCATGTTTGTAAAAATATTTATCAGACATACAACTCAAAAATAGTTTATATTTCAACACTTAAACCACACAGCTTCAACTGTTTGGTGTTTAATGTTGTTTTATTGTTGAATTAATGGTTTTTAACAACTTCTACACATTTAACATCAGTCAAAAGCCAGCTTGCATGGTTAAAACCATAATATTACCTACCGGTAAATGCTTTAACACTTTATTGATAATTACTTTTTTGCATTTTTTTCTCACCTATAATCATTTTATTTTTCTTCATGCCAACACCTTTTCAGGAAGACTTTATTGCTTATTAGGCTTTACTCTGATGTATGAATCACAGAGGCAGAAAAAATACCGTATATAGGGCACACGGTAAAATACATATTGGAATCCAGGACAAGACCTTATTACCTTCGTAACATAAAAAAAAATGTGGATATTTTGATGGCAAAAATTTATGTCAATGTAATAACAAGAAACACCAACTTGCCAGAATATATTGGGAAAAATAACAAAAGTGCTTCTATAGGAAATTTATACTGGCACTTACATTTTTTAATACATTTTTAACTTTACTTTTTAAATTTTTTAATTAGCGTTTTACCTTTTTTTTCTTGACTCGTCAATTTTTTTCCCCCAACTGAATTTACAGTAGTTAATATATCATTCAAAGGCTCATCTAATTTGGTCAAATGCCAAAACAACAAGATCTTTGCTGAATGGCTGGATATAGATCTTGTGCTTCTAGACCTCACTGGGGGACATGGGGCGGGAGGGGGGGGGGGGGGGGGGGGGGGGGACTCCATTTGTAAGGGATATTCAAGTGATCAAAAACGCTAACTTGTCCTATAAAGGGTTAAAGATATGGATGCATTAATTAACCTTGTTCCTATGAACATACCAACAAACATTTTAGCCACCTGCTACCGTATACTAATATAAGGATGATGGATCTCTCTGATACTTTGTTCTGCACCAGCCTGGAGACGAGCCATCCGTTTCAATCAGCTGTCTGCTCTGTTTTTGTGTTTTAATACACAGATTCACCTTCCAGGGTATAATTGAAGGATCAAGTTGCCACTTTTGCAGGGCATGCTCAGAAATTTCTGTAGGCACAGTGAGACTCTGACTTTTGAAAAGTGCTCAGCTGCCAGGAAGAGCAATAAAGAGGCAACAGGTATAAAGTAAACACCTCAGATCTAGGATTGTTGGATCTATACTGGCAGTATAAATAAGCCAAATGTGTTTCAAAAAGCATTCTGAAAGTTAATAAAATCTTAATATTGGCCATTTCTGATGCAGTAAAGTGAGTTCAAACATCACATTAGGATTTTACAGACTGACAGGTTGTATATCCTTGAATTTTGAGGAAATTATTTGATTTTAAAACCAATATATATTCTTGTCCTCTTATTGTTTCTACCCCACAAAGATGGGTGGATTATAAAAAGTGTTTTTCACTTACGTTCATATACAGAGTCAATACTTACAGCACTGATGCCTCTTCTTTCTTCAATTCTGCCTTTTACTCCATGCCTGCCTGCTTAGATGCCAAATATTTCCAGTTAGTGCTTGAAATTTGCTTATCTGTCTGCTTTTTTTGGAGGAACTAAATGTCCTCAGTGTGGTTAAAATCCAGTGATTTTCCTCGCCGTGGTTCAGACATTTTCAGTAATATGATCCCGGTGCTGCTTTGTTTTCTGTTTTTGCCTTGTGGCCCCGGTGCTCCATCATGGTGCAGAGAACATTGATTAGAAGAAAACTGCCTGTTTTGCAACATTTCCATCCCACACTTTAGCCATGGCAGCGACTCATCAGATAAGTCAGATCAGATATTTTCACTGCTGTCACAAGCTTAGGCCATCTTTTCTTTTCTGAGATGTCTTAAAAAACATTTGCCTTGCTTGGCTTGGAAGTAGATGGACACTCACCCTATGGTGCTGAGAGCAAGCTCTGCGCTGGTGGGGAGCTTTCCTTATAAAAAGAGGATCCTAAAGCTTCATGGAGACTCCATTCCTGACGATCCGGAAGCTGCTCCTTCAGGTGCACGTTTTTTAGCAACAGATCTTTTACATGTGTTGCCATTCATGCAAATTATCCTTTTTTTTGTTTTTGCTTCTATGACAACCATTGCCCACAAATAAAGACAATGATTCGAGGCAATCTTGACAGTCTTTTTGAACAAGAAGTCTCCTAATTAGACTAATAGAGCAACTTCAGCCCTTTTAGAGCACATGCGATCATCATGAGCCTTAAAACTAGGTGAGCTGATGATGTTCTCTGAAGGGCTGTTGCTGTGATCCCTTGTGTAAAGCATTTGAATGATAAAATATGTGGAAAAGTTAATGATCAAATACTTCTTCAGGTTCCCGTCGTGTCCACATACGACCGAGTCTTCCACCAAGTCGAGGATTTTGATATGAAGCTGCGACGCGATGACAGACAACACGAGAAAGGAAGGGGACTCAATATAAACCAGGAGGTAGAAACTCTGTCACTTCCCTAAGTTATTACTGCACTGTCATTTTACTCTGAGGTTCAGTTGCAGGTTGATGGACCTTTAGGATTGCTTAGAAACAAAGGTAGATGGTGGTAATATCTGTTAACTGTGCTCTGAAGAAATGGTTTAGATAAGTTTCAAAAACAACAGACTGAGCAAGAACAGGACAGGGGGTGGAGGGAGTTGTGATGCAATAATCGGACTATGAAAATTCATTTTAGGAGTTCCCACCAGAGATGGGAAGTAACGAAGTACAAATACTTCGTTACTGTACTCAAGTAGATTTTTCTGATATTTTTACTTTACTTTACTACTTATTTTTATGGCGACTTTTTACTTCTACTCCTTACATTTTTACACAAATATCTGTACTTTCTACTCCTTACATTTTAAAAAATTGTCTCGTTACTTTAGTTTTGAATCATTTCAATGGAGTTACCGTTATTATTTTTCACGTCATCAATACCAAATTCAATCTAATTGGATGGGAATCTACGTTGCATTTGACGCACCACTACAAGATGAATCGACAGATTCGGCGGTATTCATTGGCGGCAAATCATTGCAGCTTGGTGGCGGTGCTGTTAGCATAGTAGTATGGACGACGAGATGATTGAAAATGAACACAACGGAGATCTAGTCCTATTGGCAGACATCCATTTAAAATGTAGGCAACGGCATGAAAAAAGTGGTTTCTACTTTTACTTTTATACTTTAAGTAAATTTACAAGCCTGTACTTTGTTACTTTTACTTGAGTAAAGAAGTTTAATCAGTACTTCCACTTTTACCAGAGTATTTTTTAACACAAGTATCTGTACTTTTACTCAAGTACGGAAAGTGAGTACTTTTGCCATCTCTGGTTCCCACACATTCAATTTGAAACTTATTCAGTTAAATTCAACTGTAAAGCAAACATACCTGTTTTTTTCAGTTACACTGGAAAAATGATCTACAAACAAGTCAAAATTTCTCAAATTAAGTGCATTTACCCTTAATTTGAGTAATCTAATGAAACGATTTACGGAATGAGTATTTTTACTCCTAAAATAAGATAGAAATTGTCTTGTTCCATTGGTAAAATGTCTCTTTTACCTTTTCAATTCAAGAATAAATGCAATTATTTTACGGTAAAAATGACTGATCTAGATTTTTTCCAGTGTAGTTCCACTTAAAGACTTTTTTGTATTGTTAATGTATTTTTTATTAATTTTTTTTGCATCTAACCCCCTTACCGGTAATTTTTTTTTTTTTGTCTTCTTTGTCTCACAAATTCTCCAAATCTATCAGATTGAAAGAAAATCTCTCGTCCACAGCCATCTGCAGGCAAGGCCAAAGATCCTCTGTCAGATTAATTTGTCAACTCTGACCAGACCAACCTAAAACTTAAAAAATATTTTCATTCGAAAAATTTTTCGATTTGGATGGAAGTGTGGACTCTGTAATGCAAATAATAATATCCATTTATCTCCAGCCTTCCTAAAACACTCCATCCATCCATCCATCCATCCATCCATCCATCCATCCATCCATCCATCCATCCATCCATCCATCCATCCATCCATCCATCCATCCATCCATCCATCCATCCATCCATCCATCCATCTTCTCCTGCTTATTCCGTCAGGTTTGCGGTGGGGCCGGTCTATGTCTAGCAGTGTATGGGCAAAAGGTGGCATACACCTTGGACAGGTCACCACAGAGACAGGGCAGGGCAACACAGAGACACAAAACCATGCACACACTCAGACCTAAGGATAATTTAGAGATGCTAATGAGCCTAAAACTCATGACTGTCAGAGGAAACTGGGGTACCACAGGGAGAACATGCAAACTCCATTCAGAAAAACACAGAACACAGAACCTTTCTGCTGCAAGACAAACAATTATCATGGTTACAATTTTCTATGTTGCTTGTTTTGTGATCTAGAATAAAATAGAATAGAATAGAAAAACCTCATTGTCTATTGTTGTGGCCCAGCTTTGATGACACCAAAAAAAAGTTCACAAAGGCCACAGATGCACCACGGAGAAGTGATTTATGCAGGCAAAAGAAAAAAATTTTCAGGTAAACTCCTTCAGTTTTCTTAGTTTATTTCTTCTCAGCCAAGCAAATAAAAAAGGAAAAACATTTCCTCCATACTTCTCTTGCGCCAGTAAAAAAAAAAAAAAAACATACGCCCACCCAGATGCATGCTGGTCCTACCATTGACAGCCTATTTATAAACTTAATTCACCCACATTAATCATAATTAACCAGAAACAAATGAAAAAAACTAAATAACCAAAAAAACATTATCTCAAATAAACTTAGGTAGATTATCCACAAAATCTACATTCACCATACACGACAATGGCAGAAATTAGCATTTGGCTTGCTCACACACAACAGTAGTGTTTTTGACTAAACTGTTTATATATTTAGAACTAAACATAACTTCTACTTTACTTCTATCTAACAGTTTTCTACAAACGTCTCCAGTTGGATTAAGATCAGTAATGTTTAACCGTCGGCATCGTTGAGTTGTGTTTAGAATGAATATACTATGCAGATGGTTTGCTGCGCTTTGAGAATTCATGTGCAGATGATCTTAGTGGGAATCTTGATCCCTCTGTCACTTTTTAATGTAATAAATAGTCATGTGGGATAAAAAGATCTATTTCCTCTTCTTATTTCAAAGCTGTCCCTATTGGACATCATTTAAATCAAGTGGCCTTTAGCAGGTTTTTCATTTATACACACTGTCATTGCTTTCATGATGAAATCTGGAACAAAACTGATTTAAAAAGAATTTTTCTCAACATGTTCCACTGGAATAGTATCAAAGTTAAAGACTAAAAAATCAGACGTTTATCAAGTAATTATCAAGCATCTCTGTAGAGGTTAAAGTGCCAAACACGTCTAAGAGGCTCTTAAACAGATTTCTCTGCAAGATCAGTTGTACATAATAAAATTAGAGAAGAAAAAACAAAACCAAAAAAAAATGTGCAAGTGGAAATAATCTGTTGACAAGTTTCCCAGGAGTCAACATCAATGCAAGTTCATTAAAAAACAAACACAACACTTCACAAAGCTTGGAGAATGAGAAAAGCAAACAAACCGGAGCTGAAGCTCAGAGTCTGCAGCCCCCAGTGAGCTTCAATGCTAAAGGTCATGACAGCACAACGAGAAACAGATAAAATCATTGTTGTTAGTCTGCCTGGGAGCGAACCCCGAGAGATACGCCTCTTCAGTTTCACTTTAATTTGACAATAAATAAATGGAATAAACTTACTGGAACGAAACACAAGATGTCATGAAACTATGTTTACAGAGATAAAACCAAACTTTTTTTCTTTCTTTGGCTGTAATGAAACGATTAATGTTTGATAAGAAACCAAACATCCTGCATGGGATTACCTCTAAAACATGGTGGTGGAGTGGTGCTGGTCTGAGCTACAGGCTTGGAGTAACTTACAACTTTTTAGTTAAAAATAGATACTAAACAAGAACATAGAGGTATTCCAGAGATACATGTGCTGCCCTAAAGAGGGAACCTAATGATGGCAAGATTGTCTCATTTCAACTCAATTATTAAACCTTAGCGTGGGTTTATTATGTTTTCTATGTTCGTATCGGTGTTATTATTTTTAGGACTCTGCGACTGACATATATTTCTAAGTTTTATGACGTTTGTTTAATGTTTCCTTTCTAAAGCTTTTTTTCAATTCCTTGGAGTCATTATTCATGTCATGGAAAGTAGCTCACAGCAAGTTTCTGGGTCGCAGAAAGCAGAAAGAGTGATGAACAAAGCGGAGGCAAACACACACTGCTGAGCTTGTAATTACAGCGAAATGAGTGGTTGGCTGTCAGGGTTGCTGACAGTTCCTGGTGAATTAGGACGTAGCTTTTCCAAGGGTTACATTTGAATATGAATGTCAAATAAACTATTCCCTTGTCTGTTCATAGAATAATGGGATTGGGTTATGATTTGGACCTTTTTTTCTGAAGCTAATAAAACTGTAAACCCAGACAAGAAGTTGACAGAGTTAGTTAGAGGCTGGATGATGGTGAAGTTGGTAGCACTGTTCCCTTTCTGCAAGAAGGTCCTGGGTTTGAATCCTAACTTGGTGTCTCTCTTTCTGGATTTTGCATGTTCTCCCTGTGCATGCAATGGATACTCTATGGGTGTTGCATGTTGTGTGCAACAAATGCGACCAAAGCTGAGGCACCTTTCATTTAAATTCAATTCAGTTTATTTCTATAGCGCCAATTCACAACATGTCATCTCAAGGCACTTTAGAGTTTAACCATATCATACAATCAAATTGATTCAAAGTTTTTTATCTAAGTAAAACCAGCTGATTTCATCGACTCATTGAATTGAAAGCAATCCCTCACACTAAGCATGCTTGTAGCGACAGTGGAGAGGAAAAACTCCCTTTTAACAGGAAGAAACCTTCAGCAGAACCAGGCTCAGTGAGAGCGGCCAGATGCTGAGGCCGACTGGGGTTCAAGGAGACAGAAGCAGAGATACAAAAAGTAACTGTAAAAGGCGGCCCCGTCCAGGAAACACACAGCCAGGCAGACGAGGTCTGAGCCAGCTCCCATGTCTTAGGACAGGGGTGTCAAAGTGGTTTCAGAAAGGGGCGTGTGGCTGCAGGTTTTCTTTCTGACCAAGCAATAGCACACCAGACTCCATTCATCTCATCAAGTAAGTCCAGTCTAAACATGATGACTTGATGAGATGAATGGAGTCTGATGTGCCATTGCTTGGTTGGAAAGAAAACCTGCAGCCACACGGCCCTTTCTGGAACCACTTTGACACCTGTGTCTTAGGATGAAGAGAGCACATCCTTTGAGGAGGGAATGTGGCCTCATCTTTACTAGGAACTTCATGACTTCTCAATCTGATTCCAAAGGAGCTTCGAACAATTGCAGTGTCCCAGGTTGCTTTCAGAGACCAGAAACCTGGGTAAATAAAATTCTACATTAGATAACAAAATATGTGTCTGATCAGGTAAGTGTCATTTCTGTTTTGTAACCTAATAACAGCTTTTAGCTTAGTTAATTCTTATGTTTAAGAGGAACTCAGGCTGCTATAAAGTAGTGCTCTGGATCACATCACACGTTCCCTGATGGATCTTACTCTTTCAAATTACATATACGAGTTTGTGTGAAGGGCAGCCTGCAGGGAGCATCAATACACACCAGGTGCTGAATATTGACCTAAATCAGTCCGTATAACACAAATTAAGCTAATAATTGGCGCAAAACTTCCATTGCTGCTTTAAAAAAATTGAAGTTTATTATTAAAACAGGATAATGTTATAAAAACCTCATTTAGAAAGTTGTGGTACATGGAGTTTGCATTTATGCGAAATAATTTAAATGGTTTCATCCTATGATGGAAAAGATAAATAAGCCTTTTCCATAAACACTAAAAAGACTAATCTTGAAAAATATTTTATTGGCAAAAATACCCATTTCCTGCCTGCTTTACTTCTGGGCTTTATTTTAGCAGCAATGGTTTTGCTCCAACACATTTTTTATGTTCTTAACACCTCTACATGCATGCAACTAGCTTTGTTTGCAAAGAAAGGATCAAATGAAAGGTACAGAATCTTCATTTATGAATCCAAACAGATCCATAAAGCTCAAACCCTCTGTTGTAGTAGAATAAGATTTTACCGAGGTAACCCTGGTATTATTCTGTGCTGTGATCAAGTTTTTACACCACTGCTGCACTTTAATAATAAGGAAATGTCATGAGAGCTGCACAAAATTAAATTTAGTTTTGCATACAATCTGTGTATACAAAATGAAAATAAAAGATAAAGATAGAGCTCTTCACCTAAACTAAAACAGATGTAAAATCAGAAACATATTTAAAGGAAAAGTCCGGTTGGCAAAGAATAATCAATGGATCATTTTTTATACCTAAACTAATACAGGGTTTTTGAGGGTCATTAAAAATCATTAAAAGTAATTAAATTATATATTTTTTAAATTAAGGCCTTCATTAGCATTAACATTCATTAATTGTGATTATCATGACATTTAAAATGCTTTATAAAAACCTTCTATAAATGATGCTGTAATACATCAGGTAAAAGTGAAGAACAATTAGTTATTTCACCTTTCTGATTGGAATCTTGAAGAGGGAGGATTTGCCATCAAACTTCTGGCCAGAGAAAAAAACACGTCATTATCTGTTACTCCCTGCTTCACATAGTGCTCTGGTCGTCACCATCATGGATAATAGCGCGTTGTGGTAAACACCAGATAAAGCACTGGGACTTGCTCAACAGCCGATAACGTGATGTCACAAACCAGTAGGTGGCAGTAGTGTTCTTTGACAAACATGGATGCCTCCAGTAAAGCACATTCAAATGAAATTACTCTTAATTAAACACATCATTTATTGGACAGTATGTAATAATTTCTTACTTAAAGTACTTTCAGAAGTTTGTATTCTGAATGTGATCGGACTTTTCCTTTAAAGAGTTCAAATGAAACGGTGGCAAAGGACCCCTTAAGCTCCCACAGAAATATTTCTAAAGGCTAATTTAGGTTCTTTCACGTTTGCCCTTATTTCTTTAGCAATAGTCCTCACCTGTCTTTTAAAGACCGAGCAGATGTTACTTTCTGTAACAACTTAAGAAGTACAGTAGGCTTCAGTCACAGCCAGTCATCTTCTGCACTGTTCAGTCTGTTCTATGCACATCCATCACTGCTCAGCCACAAAACACGGACAGGTCCGAACTGGACTTAATCTGGTCTGGAGGAAGAATCATCAGGATTAATCTTTCCTCTATCCAGGACCTGCACAGCTTTAGGTTCATTAAAAAGGCAGCTAACATCTCTGCAGACCCCACATGTCCTGGACACAAAGCATTTAGGTAAGGAGCGCCAATGGCAAAAAGAGAGTTTCCTTCAGTAAGGGTGTCCCTCTGATGAACATCTTGCAGACTGAGTATTAACCCTGAAAGATTTTAAATATATATGCATAAAGGATTAACATATCTACTGTGTTTAATGGTATGTCTTCAAAATATTGATAAATTGTCTGTACATAGCTTTTAAAACTGATCAAGTCCTTAGAAAACATAGAGAACAGGATATTCTTTTACCAATTTTTCAGTTCTAAATATAGTCAACTCTTATGTATTGTGTGGGTTGTCTGAAAATGGTTCCTTATTTGGTCTTTGAACAGCCTAATCTGTCAAAGCATATGGACAAATCGGCACAGAAGTGGTTTAACAGAGGAAATAAACCTTTTTCCTCGGCCATTCCAGTTCCCCTGACCTAAATCCAAGGGCGCAGATAGCGTGTACGTCAGGGGTGTTCTGACGTACACAGATTCGAATGACCCTCAATCCGTCCCCCCCACTTTTATAAAAAAAAAAAAAAAAAAAAACATACGGCGAAACTCACAGAAAATCAAAAAGCTTTTTCTAATTTACTGCTTTGCAACAACAACATAAAACAGTCAGATCATAGACGGGCAATCGTTTTGTTTAACTGCAGGCTGCCTGCGTCGTAGAGATTCTAATCTAAAAGTTATCCTGTCTCTGGCATTTACGTCTCGAGCCTGGTTTCCATGGTTACTCAGACAGACAGTAGTGACAGGACAGTTCCCAATTCCGGAGTCCGGACATCAACATGAGGCCAGCCAAACATAAAAAACAGAAAACAATTGCATCCTTTTTTCGAAAAGCACCAACTGTAAGTAAACTGTTCATTGCGGTATCATATCACCTTGCATTTTTTTGGTTGTCTGTTCGATGTCGCCGTGGAAAAAAGAGTGGAGACGGTCAGTGAGAATAGCGTGAAGAGAGGTGCCAATGTCATAAGGCGGGAGGCAGGGGGAATCGACTGGCATTTATTTATTTATAATTAAATCGACTGTTCCGACTTTTTCTGGAGTTGTTGGGGGTCTTTCAGAAATGTGTAGGCTACAGTAGGCTACTTGAATCCGTATTTATGCCAAGCCAAATGGTTTAGGTTGTTACAGGTTGAATCATGAGAAAAACGAACTTCAAAACTAGACAAATTCCACTACACAGGGGCGGATTTAGGAAATTTGGGGCCCTAGGCAAAGACAGGCATGGGGCCTTCTGAATTGAGAAGACAACATATAGAACAGACCCATTATACAGATACAGAAATTTTAATTGAATAGAAATTTGAGGATGTCATGTATCTTCAAGTTTGTCTATGTCACTGTAACTCGGAGGAAAGAATCTCTCTCTCTCATATATATATATATATATATATATATATATATATATATATATATATATATATATATATATATATATATATATATATATATATATATATATATATGTGTGTGTGTATATATAAATAAATAAAAGGTGCATGTCACAGGAAAGACTAGTGATGTTACAAATATGACAATTGCTTAAACTACAGAACAGTAAATTATTTAATCTATAATTAACGTGGCCCTTAACATCCCCAGCTGTACACAATAACATGCATTAAAGCAATGTTAAAACAAAGCTGTAAAGCAGAGTGAGACGTTGATAATAACTTCCTTATGTTTTTTGAATGTATAACTTTAATTATAAAGGACTAAAACGCCTAAAACTTATGGGTGATTTTACAACATTTGAAAGCCTGAGATTTTACTGAAATTGGGGCTACTGGGGCTCACTGGCCTTAGATGTAATGAGCGAACTGGAAGTGCTGAATACATCGCTCCAAAAAAGCACCCAGACATTGGAGGGCATGGTCTCTGCAGTCTCAGTTGTCCAAGAGAGTTTATAGGACAAAAGAAAGCCAGCCCACGTCTTTAAGGAAGCAGTGGATATGGCTGAGAAGCTGTCTCTAGAGCCCATTGCTCTACCTCGAACACATAGGCCCCCAAAGAGATATTCTGGGCCAGCACCTGCACACAGGCCAGAATCTGCTGTGGAGTACCACAGAGTGGAGTTCTACAGAGTCCTTGACAAAGTAGACACACAACTTTCTTCATTTGAGGCCATTCATTGAAAAGCCATGTAAAGTACTTATTTACACATTTGTTTTTGTATATATGTAGGCTTTGCTATCCGTGTTTCTGTGTGTTTACAGCCTGCACTTAAAGTCAGTCCATGTTTGAATGAAACCTTTTTTTTTTCACACGTCATGTGGCATGTTTGGTGAGTACTTGGTACCAATACATGTTATTTTCTTGCAATGATGGGCAATTAAGATTGATGGGTTGTCATAGCTGAGTAATAGCCAGTAATAGTAAATGTCCCCCACAGTTTCAAAAACCTATCTGCGCCCCTGCCTAAATCCTGCTGAAATCCTCTGGGGTGAGTCGAAGACGAGGACAGTAAAAGAAAAACACCCAAGACTCCATTTGAACTGGGTAGATTGCATCAAAGATTCCTCTTTGCATGCATTAACCGTGCAGAGAGAGAACTGAGTGCAGATGTTGCATCAAGGGGACACAGTTCTTTTTTTTCTCTGTCAAATCTCCCTAGTTTGCAAAAACTACATATTCCTGTCGATTCCACAGACTGGCTCTGCACATCTTACTTAAGACTAAAGAAATTCATTTTGCTCTGCTGAAAATGCTTGTTCATCTTATCTTCATGACTCTCCCATTAATAATTTAAGTCGACAGCAGGTCTGAGAAAAATAAAAGACGGCATACCACTGAAAGCACCTAAAGTAGACATTCCTTCTGTTTTAAGATCACAATTAAAGATAAGATGTGTTTTTTTTAAAAAGCATCCTCTCTGAATAAAAACTTTTCCATGTTTGGGTCATACTTAAGGACATTTTGGAAGACTTTCCACTGCTAAGCATCGCTTTCTGTTCCCTACCAGGAGAGCTCCAGACCTGTGCCTGTGCTGTCATCTTCCGAATATGGCCGCCGGATCAATCCGTACCTAAACCAAAATCCACCACAGTTTGCACGCGTGGCTTCCATGAAACATGACTTTCACACGAAGAATGGGATCGTCTGGAGTGTGGAAGAAGGACACGGGTCAGTGGCTCCAATCTGAAAGCCCTGTGTTTCCCAGCATGACGTAATAAATCTGTTCGTCACAGAGCTGTTTGTATGATGGGACAGAATTACCACATATACCATACATTTTTTATTTTTTTTTTTAACATAGGGGGAAAATCATCAACCAGTTAAGGTCCGGAGAAATTTTTTATTAAAATATGTTACTTTAAACAGCATTTAACAATGCAATAAAATGAGGTGTTTATGCATCCATGTTATACATTGAATTTTTAAATAAAAAATATAAGAAATTTAAAGTTTCTCCATTTTAAAATCTAAATATTTTTTGAAGTATAGAGCAACAATCTTTTAGTTAAGTATATAGACAACTTTCTGATTTCCTTTTTTTTTTTTTTTTTATAAAAAACCTGGCCTGACCTTTTGTTTTTCTTTCTTTTTTTATGACTTGACAAGAGCAGTGGGCTTGATTCTGCCCTGCAAGGCTTTTAAAACTGGGTTTAAATGGAGAAAAAGCCATTCTCAAGCACATATCAAGGAGCTCATTTTGAGCCTGGATCCATGTTTATTTTTGATTCTGTTCATGGTGGAGAATCCTGCTTCTCAGCAGTAGGTTGAGCCAAACATACTCTAAATGTGCAGGGTCATCTTTGAGCACTTTTCTGTCACTAGCTCACCACAGTTCTTCCAGCAGTGCACACTTTCTCTGCTTTCTTTTTCTCCTTATCTTCTCCTTCTTTCCCATCGCCCAGCTTACCACAGGTTTGCCTGCTCTGTCTAAAAGTAGCAGCAGCAGCAACTCAGACTGACAGCAACTCATTGGCTAATCTGTATCACGTGCAGCCTGGTGCTGAACACTCTGCAGGGCTTTACCGTATTAACAGTAGAAGTGGCGCAAGTGAAGTTTAGATACCGTCTTTGGACAACATGCAGTAATTAATAAATTTTTTGAATCAGGTTGGGTCCGGAAAGCGAGCAGGTGGGTCCAGATCCGGATCCTGGTCCACTAATCCATGACCTCTGTCATAGGGGATTATAGTTAATAAGCATCATAATGACTTCTCATAATACAGTAGTTTTAGGATTAACATGATGGTTAAAACTCTACATTTGCTGATTTTTAATAACTATCATCTTGTATGTTTATGGTGTGCTTCACAGTTTCTTCCTATTACTACAACTTTTTAACAGTTTGTCACTTTACAACCGCAACTTCAACATAATTTAACAGAAATGATCAAGGATTAGATGGAACTTCAAGCCTACCAAGGTATGGCCATATAACTGCCGGGATAGGAGGGCATCTATCAGCATCCATGGCACTGGATACCGAAGTTGCAGCAGTGACAATCTCTAATTGTGTACTAGGGAGCCTACACCTCCCGTGTAAATTTCATAAAATTATTTGTCAGACTTCATAACTGTGTTCATTAAAATGCATAAACTTTGCTCTAAAATGCGCCTGATGTCACGATTATGTAATCAGCTGTTTATTTTCATGTCCCGGACCAGATCTCCCCTCCGCTCTCAGGCAGCAGGATGCTGCCGGTCAGCCTCTATGAGAAATCCTTGTTGAGGTTTGAGGCTGAGGTCTATTGAGGGAAGCAGCGAAAAAAGTAGAGCCCTGATTGGATAAGAAGCAAAAATACGTCATTTCCAGTGAGGCTAAACCTCTGAGGGGATCTATGGAGCAGGGGAAGTTCGTGAAGCTGGCTGCTTGATGCTGATGGCAAACATACTGAAGGATTTTTGACTGAAAGTCCCCAGACAGAGAGGAGGTTTCAATCTTAAGTCGAGAGGAAAAAGTGATCATTCAGTCAGAGCAATCATCCTGTGCTGAACTTGGAGTTTATTATTTTTAAGGGCTTCCCAACAGCTATTTTCATTTGTGATGTGTTTCATGTGTTAATGTAATACGTGACGTTCGGATTTAAATAACACCATTGAGCCTCCCCTGTTTCATAGAGCAGCAGCTGCCACTGAGTTAGAGAGATTTGCGGCTCAGGTGGGAAAGTCTTTTGACAGCGCAGTGAAGTTCAGAATGAGAAGGGAGGGTAAATGGAGCGAAACATGGGGGAATCCTGGAAAAAAAAATCCTGATGGAGCAGCAAAGCGATTTTAGACTCCACTATCCGGCAAGATGGAACCCCTAAACATTCATTCAGAACTACAATAAAATGACTACAATCCAGTATGGTGAGGCCTATTTGATTAAAGGATAAAAATCGAATTGAAAAACTGTGGCGAGAAAATCTCTGTTCAGAGAGGCTTCAATTTAATCTGCAAAACTGGTCAAGACCCTCGTCTTTGAGCCCTGAGGTGCCTTCAGCTGTGATTGCAGTGAAAAGTGTTCTACAAATATACTTCAGAGGAAATTTGAAGAAGTTCAAGCTAAGGTAGGTGGTCTAAGGAAACAGTCATTACTCATTACAGCACAGTGTGGCACTAAAAATTAGACCAGTTTTTCTTATTTTTGATTTCAGCATAAAGAATTTACCCTCTGTCCCCTTCGACTAAACTTGGTTCCTATTGAGCAAAAACCGATAACAGCTCTAGACATTAAATAATTCCAGTTGGCTCTTATCTCCAGTCAGCTTCTGATGTTTGTGTTGGGGCAGAAATATAGCAGCAGGGAGCTATTTCTGTCTGTTTGGTGTTAGAACTGCAGTGTTTGTTAATGAGAATTAGGAGCTAACAAACAAGGTGACACGTCCCGCTTTGGAATGAGAAAAAAAAAAAGAGTGAATTAACGATGCTGTAACACAGCGTGCTGCTTGTAATTAAAGCCTTTGGAAATAATTGGTTTCACACTTCAAGGAGCACTTCTACCTTAAAGACTGTCTTTGAGTAAATCTGGTCTGTTTCCTTTTTCTGCAAGGTCATGCTTGTTCTCTCTGCATAGATTTATGTATAGTGATACCAACATACAGGGAGGTATTTCCTAACTCTGCTTGCTAGCATTCAGTTTTCAGGGAGCAGATTAATTAATTAGTACTTTTAACATAAATGTAGCTATCTAAAAAGCCTTATTTCATTTATGTTCATTAAAAAACGGAAACTTGCACATAAAGAGAGTGATTCAGAAAAACAACCCTCAGAGAAACAGAAAGGGATATACTACCAGTAAAAATGCAAAAAGTATCAATGCTTTAACGAAATTTTCTTTTGTAATGTTCACAGTGAATTTGTTATGGTTCTTCTTATTTGTTGTGACTCTGAGTTTTCAGTTTTCTGTTATCAGTTGTTTTGTTTTTATTTTCCATGATCTTCAAGCATTCTTTAGTTACTCTCTGTTGCCCCCTTGTGATTGTTTTCTTTCCCCTTGGATTCCCTCTTGCCAGTTCCACCCACACCTGCTCCCCATTCAGCTCGTTAGTCCATCCTTTTGTTTGGTTGTCCTTAAATACTCCACCTCTGCAATCACTCAGTGCTGGTTCCTTCTTGTAGCTGTATTGTCTACTCTGCTCGTCTCTCCCCGGCTCCTCAGACTCGTTTTTCCCCTGATGTCTCCATGATTTTGGTTGGTTTTATATTTTAAGTTGGATTCCTGGATTTCTGCCTCTGCTGCTATTTGGTCTGCAATTAAACCTCTCAGAACTCATCCCTGCTTCACTTGTCTCTGCATCCGGGTCCTCAAGCAACCTCACCACCCATAGTTGACAGAATTATTTTAATTTGTAATTTTGGAAACAGCACAATGTAAAGTTCTAAATATGGAAATAGTTTGCCTGTCTAAATAAAATGTTGATTGATTTTTTTGTGGCATTTCTGTCTTTTATTCATAATAAGTAAGCTAAGGCACTTGTAGGAAAAGTCAGCAGGTTGAGTACCAGATACCATGCCTACTTTCAGGATTAGGCTTAAAAATGTCCTTTTTGCTGTTATAGGCTTACGCTGCTGGAGGACATAGGGACAACTTTTCATCATTCTATCTCTATCATCCAATTCTTTTATTTGTTAGTTCAACTCCTAATTTTTGTTTTCTCTCTGCTCTTTCTAATCATTATGGCTTCATCTTGTTTGGTCTCCTTTGTCTGTGACACCATCCGGGATAGAGTTGGACTGATTTTTCATAGGGTATGTAAAGGATTGTATAAGGTAGTAAACTGAATGAACTTCAATCAAGCCTACTGAAAGGTTGTAATATGTAACAAACATAATTCTACTTGGTAGTACATTTTTCATCACCCCTTCAATATATTCTGACTTTTCCTTTGATGGTCTTAGGTTTCCAGTCAATTTAACTAATAAAATCTGTATAAAAACGATAACCATATACAATAGGACCTGAGCTGCCACTGATAAACTGAATTGGATCTGCTGGCTAATCTGCCGTGCACGCTGTGTTGGAAGTAATGAGTCATTTTATAAGGCCTATCATGGGAAAATATATGCTTTCACAACTTTGGTTCACTCTAAAACTTGATAAGTAAGTTCATCTGAAATGATTACTAATTCAGACTACCGGTATTAGGGTTGAATAGAAAAATCTGATTAAGTACAATTAAATAGATATAATATTTGAAGTAACGAGATCAAGATATGCTTGATTTTGTGTTGCTAGTAAATAAAATTGAAGACGTAGTAAAGGTAGTGAACTCAGTACGGGATTGCTGTATTAACAGTGTTTATTCTTGTTTCTCTCTTAGACATAACTACAGGCTCAGCTTTTACTGTGACTATTTTTTCTGTTTTATACCTAGTTTCCTAAACTAAGCCACCCATGGGGCTAATTCACCGTAACCTTTTCTAACATGGAAAGTATTTATGGATCAGTACTTCTATGTTCCTTTTCTATCACTGCTTCTGTCTCCTTGAACCCCAGTCGGCCTCGGCAGATGGCCGCTCACACTGAGCCTGGTTCTGTTGGAGGTTTGTTCCTGTTAAAAGGGAGTTTTTCCTCTCCACCTATCGCTGCGTGCATGCTCGTTGTGACACAAATATCTGCCGTCTCTACATCAGGGGTCACCAAGCTTTTTAAGGCTTAGAGCTACTTTTTTCAGTGAATGATGGTTCCAACATCCATGCCTTTCAGTGTTTGGAGAATTAAAAAAAGAACAATAACACTTGCAGTGAATTTATATACAAATATTTAATGAAAACCCAAAACATGGCAGTGAACATTTACACAATGTTGGCCCTTGCTGACATATAAAAAAAAAAAAAAAGCTTCCTTCTTGATTCAAATGGGACACATATGTAGCTATAAAGCTATAAATACAATCACAGGTTGTTTTATCTACCCATAATGCTGGTAATTTATTGGTACCACCAGCCCTATATGATGAGAGTTATTGTAACATCCATTTGGGAGGAAATGAATTGGCTCTCAGTACCAGGCACGCTGAGAGTTAAAAAACAAACAAAACGGAAATAAACAGCTTGACAGGCGGCTCAATCTGCTCAAGTATAAGGCTGTGAAGCACTGCAACACTGGTGTGGGTAATTAGCTCCACACACTACTATTTTACAGATAGGTGACTGGGGTCCTTGAGAGCTGCACCAATTTAGCCAACCTCTCTTTAGTCAGGCACTCCTTTAGACAGTGAAGAGACTCCTCAGAGTGATGTCCTCATAACACTGGAGGGGTGAAACGCACTCGTAGTGCAGCGTTGAAGGACCGCGGCGGCCCACCTTGGCCTCCATCTGCTCTCAGCTGCTGAGGACAAAAGTGGTTCTCGACGAATGTCAGTCCGCTGTGCTGCTGGCTTCTAGTGATGGGTTTTACTTACAGAGCATGACTTGTCACTTCAGTGCCACTTTCTGCTTTTGTGTTTCCAAGTCTCTGTGGCGGCGCGGCAAGGCGCGCTCAAGGCATCACGGTCCCTTGTGACAGAGATCTGCTCATCTCTGTGTGGACAAAGTAGGTTTTCAGCTCCCCTTTGCCTTTCACGTTGATGATGCCACGACACGAACACATGTACCCCAGGTTGGATAAGATACCGCTGGTTTCCTCCGTTACCTGCATTTCACAGAAAACATCAGAATATTAAAGGGATAGTTCGGGATTTTTGACATGAATCTGTATGGCATCCCCATCACCAGTGTCATGCAATCACACTTACCCCTGGCAGCATCCTGTGCATCCTGTGAGCAGAGTTCTCGTCCAGCTTTGGTCAAGCCGAAAGTAGTCCGGCAGGTTTGCTAGACCCAGCGAAATAAAACGTTTCTCTTCCCAAAACATTATGTGTTCAAAAGAGTGATATTTTTGCATCCCAAAAACATTGTAGTGGAAAAAGTCACACGTCGTTATCACTTGGTCCTATTTTCTCTCTGTTCGTATCAGTGCGGGCCGTCATTCTGACAGCGAGCTCAACAACAGCCAGATGCATGTCTCGCTCCGCCTAGCTCCTAGCTAGGCGGAGCGAGACATGCATCTGGCTGTTGTCAGGTTAGTAGGCCCTAGCTGTCAGGTCATGGTGTCGCGCTCACTGATACGAACAGAGAGAAAATAGGACCAAGTGATAACGACGTGTGACTTTTTCCACTACAATGTTTTTGGGATGCAAAAATATCACTCTTTTGAACACATAATGTTTTGGGAAGAGAAACGTTTTATTTCGCTGGGTCTAGCAAACCTGCCGGACTACTTTCGGCTTGACCAAAGCTGGACGAGAACTCTGCTCACAGGATGCTGCCAGGGGTAAGTCAGTGTGATTGCATGACACTGGTGATGGGGATGCCATACAGATTCATGTCAAAAATCCCGAACTATCCCTTTAACACATTTATAACAATTCAATTCACTTAATTTCTATAGTGCCAATTCACAACACATGTCATCTCAAGGCACTTAACAGTTCACCAGATTATACAGTCAAATTGATTCAAAGTTTTCTATCTAAGGAAAACCAGTTGATTGCATTGACTAATTCACTCAAATGCGAGCCCTCACACTAAGCATGCTTGTAGCGACAGTGGAGAGGAAAAACTCCCTTTTAACAGGAAGAAACCTCCAGCAGAACCAGGTTCAGTGAGAGCGGCCGACTGGGGTTCAAGGAGACAGAAGCAGAGATACAAAAAGCTTAAGACGCTTATCTACACTGTGTAGAGAGATGCAACCAGTTGTGACTCTAGCCCAAATTTAGCTGGGTGGGGCCAGTGTTTTTTCAAGCGGGCCCATAATCAAAGAAAAAAAACAAAACAGGCAACAATGCATCATTTACTATATCAAATGAGCCTCACAGCTAAGGTTGCTTAACAGGGACCTGTGACCCCAAACATAACAATGCAGCAGTCTAGAGACCCTTTAAAAGTATTTGCAATTAATTTTCCATTTTACAATTTATTAGTATATTTTATTTTTGAATCATGTATTAGAGACAGCTAAATGAATAAATGTTACATCTACTTATTTCATGGTACATTTCATTATTTATTTATTATTCACATTTTTGTATTTCATGATATATTTAGGCCCTCCATATGGCTCAGGGATCACATCACTTTGATTATTAAAACCATCTCGCAAAACCACACCTGGTGTCTAATGAATGAGGGCTACTTTGGGAACATTATATAAGGCTAAAACTGTGATTCTATCCTAATATGGCTAAAGCTCAGGGTCAGACACTTTAGTTTCTAGATAATTCTTAAAGTAAACAGTAACAGTAGAAAATGTAATTGCTCCAAGGTAGGATTGAATTTCAATTCCTTCTGCCAGCTGATATAAGAAATTGATTTTGTATTATATTTTCAGTACAGGGGCAATATTGTGGCAAAAGCAGTTCTACAGGGTTTTAGCCGTCTAGAGCCACCCATGGCTGGAACTATTTCTTTTTCACAGTTTTGCATTAAGTCATTCTGACATTAGCTTTATTTGCTAAATGTCAGACATGCAGAAGATACTTTTTCTTTATTCAAATCGTATACATGCAGTAAGATTTCTATGCCTTAAAGGAATAGTACACCCAAAACATGATTAGCCTTCATTTTCTACTCACCCCCATGCTGAACAACACTCTGGAGTACTTTTTTGATATCTCAAATGCATCTGGAGATCTGGGAGGCTTCTTGCTGTCTGCTGACATTCAAATAATGGAGGTCTATGGTGACCGAGATAGAAAGGTCCATAAAAGTCCACAAAAAACGTGTCAATATTCCTCCATACTGCTCATCCAATGTATTCCAAGTGTCCTGAGTGGGTAGCATCCAGAATTTACTCGAAACGAAGTCATTTAGAATGTTTTTAGAGCATAAACAGTAGTGTATAGGATTTCCTGAAAGCGCGCACACGCGCGCTCACGACGCTACGGAAGCCGGCAGATCAAACCAGATGAAAGTGCGCATTCAGCGTCTGCTCTTCCAATAATGCAAGCGTAGAAGAAGAAATGTGCTGTTTACCTGTGCAAAGAAAGAAACAACGAAAGAAAAATATCTGAGGACTTCAGTGTTGAGGAAGAGCATGAGTTCTTTGCCGAGCTGAATGCGCTGGTTTGGTCTGCCGGCTTCCGTAGCGTCGTGATCGCACATGTGCGCGCTTTCAGGAAATCCTATACACTACTGTTTATGCTCTAAAAACATTCTAAATGACTTCGTTTCGAGTAAATTCTGGATGCTACCCACTCAGGACACTTGGAATACATTGGACGAGCAGTATGGAGGAATATTGACACGTTTTTTGTGGACTTTTATGGACCTTTCTGTCTCGGTCACCATAGACCTCCATTATTTGAATGTCAGCAGACAGCAAGAAGCCTCCCAGATCTCCAGATGCATTTGAGATATCAAAAAAGTACTCCAGAGTGTTGTTCAGCATGGGGGTGAGTAGAAAATGAAGGCTAATCATGTTTTGGGTGTACTATTCCTTTAAAGCTCGTACTCGTACTCGTCGTCTCCCGCTTTATCCGGAACCGGGTCGCGGGGGCAGCAGACTAAGCAGAGACTCCCAGACTTCCCTCTCCGCAGACACCTCCTCCAGCTCTGTTGGGGAAAGCCCTAGGCGCTCCCAGGCCAGCCGAGAGACATAGTCTCTCCAGCGTGTCCTGGGTCGTCCCCATGGGGCATCCGAAGAAGATGTCCGAGCCACCTCAACTGACTCCTCTCGATGTGGAGGAGAACCGGCTCTACACTGAGCCTCTACCGAATGACCGAGCTCCTCACCCTATCTCTAAGGGAGAGCCCAGCCACCATGCGGAGAAAGCTCATTTCAGCCGCTTGTATCCGGGATCTCGTTCTTTCGGTCATGATCCAGATTTCATGACCATAGGTGAGGGTAGGAACGTAGACCGACCGGTAAATTGAGAGCTTTGCCTTTTCGCTCAGCTCTCTCTTCACCACGACAGACCGGTGCAGTGTCCGCATTATTGCAGCAGCCGCACCGATCCGTCTATCGATCTCCCGCTCCATTCTTCCCTCACTCGTGAACAGGACCCCAAGATACTTGAACTCCTCCACTTGAGGCAAGGACTCTCCTCCAACCTGAAGGGGACAAGCCACCTTTTTCCGGTCGAGAACCATGGCCTCGGATTTGGAAGAGCTGATTCTCATCCCGGCCGCTTCACACTCGGCTGCGAACCTCCCCAGCGCACGTTGTAGGTCTTGGCAGGAGGGAGCCAGCAGAACTACGTCATCCGCAAAAAGCAGGGACGAGATCCGCTGTTCCCCAAACCAGACCCCCTCCGGTCCTTGGCTGCGCCTAGAAATCCTGTCCATAAAAGTTATGAACAGGACCGGTGACAGAGGGCAGCCCTGTCGGAGTCCAACATGCACCGGGAACAGGTCCGACTTAATGCCGGCAATGCGAACCAGACTCCTGCTCCGCTTGTACAGAGAACGGATGGCCCCTAATAAAGGGCCCCCGACTCCATACTCCTGGAGCACCCCCCACAGGGCAGTATGAGGGACACGGTCGAATGCCTTCTCCAAGTCCACAAAACACATGTGGACTGGTTGGGCAAACTCCCTTGAACCCTCAAGCACCCTGCAGAGGGTGTAGAGCTGGTCCACCGTTCCACGGCCAGAACGAAAACCACACTGCTCCTCCTGCAGCCGAGGTTCGACAATCAGCCGGACTCTCCTCTCCAGCACCCTGGCATAGGCCTTTCCGGGGAGGCTGAGAAGTGTGATTCCCCGATAGTTGGAACACACCCTCCGGTCCCCCTTCTTGTGGAGGGGAACCACCACCCCAGTCTGCCAATCCAGGGGGACTGTCCCCGACCTCCACGCGATGTTGAAGAGACGTGTCAACCATGACAGCCCAACAACGTCCAGAGCTCTGAGATACTCAGGACGGATCTCGTCCACCCCCGAAGCCTTGCCACCGTGGAGTTTTTTGACTACCTCGGTGACTTCAGCCTGGGTGATGAACGAATCCAGCCCCAAGCACCTCGTCTCTTCTTCCCCCACGGAAGGCGTGTCTGTCGGGTCGAGGAGATCCTCAAAGTATTCCTTCCACCGCCCGACAATATCCTCCTTCAAGGTCAGCAGCTCCCCACTCCCACTTGCCCACTCCCACAGTGGGAGTGGGAGTGCCTTAAAGCAGTTTTGGAAAATGGATACACAGCATATGATTTATTCAAATTTCTAAGATGAACGTGTTTCAGTGAAATTAAGTGTGTAAGTCAAAGCCAGAACCAAAAACCCTGGTCGACTCTAGTGAGAGCTAGGGATGTAAATAACCGGCTTTATCACGATTCAGCATTGTATCGATTTGCTTTAATAGTGATGTGATGCATCTACGAGTTTATTTTAGTTTAATTCACAAGTCTGTGATCGCTCTGATGCGATGTTATCTCCCTATCTAACACAGTTATTTATATTGATATCTCGCAAAATACAACTTAAATGTGATTTGACCATTTTATTTTTAAGCTCTTACAGGCTTCAGTCATTTTAGTGGAAATAATCGCTGAATTCCTGCATAGTCCCCCTAAAATAGATCTCGGGTCTAAAAAAATACAAAAACAAACAAAAAAAAAAAAAAAAAAAAACGCTGATCACAGTCGGAAATACTCAAGCCCTCTTGAAGAAAATCGTGTCTGCTGTGTTCATTCCTATTGATTTTCAGCGAACACTAAACGCTACGATCTTGTCCGTCATATTTTTTTGTCAGATCAGACACCAATTCTGATTCAATGTGTTCAGGGCTTCAGTAACAGAGTTTCTTTATCCAAAGTGAAACATTATTTTCTAACCTGAGTTGTAATGCCGCTCTGAGACGAAGAAGCCAATACTTTAAAAGTTACATAAAAAGCTGGATTAAGGTTTGCAAATCAACTCAGGGACAAAAAATACAGACCTGGAGAAATTGTCTGTAGTCTGATGAAAATAAAATTAACCATAATCACCATTGTTACATTACGAAAACCATCACAGGGGTTGCTGTGTGGCCGCATCATTTTGTGTGGGTGTTTTGCAGCAGGAGGGACTGGTTCACTTTACATCAAATGGAAGAACTGACTGTTAAAATTTTTGTAAAATAGCATAAGTTGGCCTAAAAGCAAGTTACAGTAATGTTTTGGAGGAGTCATCTGAAAGCCATGATCTCAGTCCTGTGGAGAATTTGTGGTCAGAGAGGAAAACCTGAGATTAATAAAAGCTGCCTAGAAACTTCAAAGAAACTATATTAAATACTACAGAAATCTATAAACTTTTCTAGACTTAAAGAAGATAAAATAAAATTCTTGTACATTTTCTGGGATTATCTTTCAGCTGTACGTCGACAAACACGTATCAGAGACGTCTTACCTGTATTTTACCCAGCACCCCCGTCGTTTCCATCCTGCTGGCCACATTAACACTGTTTCCCCAGATGTCATATTGGGGTTTCTGAGCCCCAATGACTCCTGCAATCACCGGCCCGTGGTTGATACCTGGCAAAATCAAAAGAGACCAAAAGATAAACTCCATGGCAATCTTTAATACATAAAAAAATTTATTCTGAATGAATAGACTGATTGACATATGAACATTTTTAAGGCTGTGTGAGGCTATTCGTACCAATTCGCAGTCTGAAGTCATTAAAAGAGTGTTTGTTGATGACATCTAGCTTCCCAACAAGAGCAAAGGCAAACTCCACCATTGTGCCGATGTGCATGTACTGTCTGTCATGTTCCTGAGGAAAAAAAAGGAAAGAGAAGGTAAACAGAAACAATTCCAATTCAACCTTGCAAGAACCCCTTTCTTAACGAAGCAGGTTAGATTAAATAACGTGGAGAATCAAAATGCTATGGCACTGGTTTACTTCTCTTCAGATGATACAGTGTTTGCAAGTAAAGTTGGGTAAAATGATGAACTATTTCAAATACCACTCAGTTTAACCCCAAACCTCTTTCTTGGTGTGCAAGAAAGCTTAAAATGAAACAGAAATACATGCAGCAAAACCAAATCACCAACAGAACGGCTTCACCACAGCAAAATTCAAGTATATGAACGGCTCACTCTACAGCTATAACCAGTGCACTGGAAAAAATCTCAATCTAGATAAGTCATTTTTTCTTAAAATACATGTCATGGTCTTGGTTCTGTTGTTCTTTACTTTGCTCCTTGTTTTCTAGTTTTATTGGTTTAATCCCAGTTTTGTTGTAATTTCTAGATTTATGTTCTCATGTTTTTCTGTTGTCCTCTGTTGCCCTCTTGTGTGTGTGTGTTCCTTTCCCCTTGGCTCCCTCATTGTCTCCTCTCACACCTGCTCCTTGTCAGCTCGTTAGCCCTGCCTTTGTCTGTCAGCTACATATATCCTCCCTCTGCTCTCACTCTTTGTTGGTTCCTCTGTTGTTGCTGGTCCTGTCATCGCTGTAGTCGTCTCACCTTGTCTCTCCCTGGCTCCTTGTATATGTTTTCCCTTGATGTCTTTTTCATTTTCATCATTAAAACTACAAGTATTCACCTCAACCTCTCTGCCTCTGCTTTTGGGTCCTCCAACCAAAACGTGACAATAAGTGCATTTGTTTTTGGATTGAGGAGGTAAAAGAGACATTTTGCCAGTGGAACGAGACAATTTACACTTAAAATAAGAAAACACAATTGCATTGTCTTATTTCACGTGCATATTATCTAATTATCTTATTTTAAGAATAAAAATGCTCATTCCGTTGGCAAACTATCTCATTTACCTACTCAAATTAAGTGTAAATACACTTAATATAGGACATTATTACTTATTTCTAGATCGTTTTTTCCAGTGTGGAAAGACTTTTGTTGTTTCCGGATGAAAGCTTTGGACACCAGTTGTCCTAGCAGTCTAATAGATCTATTGTCAATAATTGGTTGTTTAAAGAGTTGGGACTCTTCATTTTTCCTCACAGATTTTAGATTATTTTCTTTTTCAGTTGAGTTATTCAGATATTTTAACAAAAAGATACAAAATAGTGTTCAATAAATCTGCCTTGTTGGCACATTATGAGAAAAAGGAAAAAAAAGAAAGTCTAACTGATATAGCAACAGTAGGAGGCGAGGCTATGTGAACACCTAATTAAGCCAGATTTTCAGCAAACAGGCGGATCTTTTCGCCCTGAGCTGCTTTATGTCTGAGCTATTTGCTCATATTGGCTGCATGCATTCAGATGGGTAGCAATAAATCACTGATGGATGAATGATGCCGGTGGCAGATTTCATGGAGCTACCCACACAGGGCTTTTCACTGTGTGAGAAAAGCCGTTAATGCTCCTTATTGTGGCTTCGGCAACTAGAGCTAATTAAAGGGGAGAGTCCGAGGGCTTGTCAGATGTGCGTTCAAAAAGCCACAAGTAGAAGAAGTTGCTTTAATCTTATTGTACAGATGCCCTCTGTTGCTGGCCAGCCTCATTCTCAATCCAGTGTCTCTGAAAGCGTTCGTAGCCGTGCAACTTTTCTTCGGTTTGTCACATCACAACCACAAACTTCAGCGTTTGCAGTTGGGATTTGTATGTAATAAACCCCTGAAGCACAAAATAGAGTAAAACTGTGAAGTCTGGAGATCATTTAAATTCAGCTCACTTTGAAGAAACCAACCTTTGCTGCAATTAAAAGCTGCAGGTGTTTTGGGGATTTTTCTCTTCGCTTCCAAGGTGTAGAGGAAACAATTTTTTGCTAAATTGCAGCAACTCAGAAGTCAGACTGAACGTGTTAAGAGTTTAAGAAAACCATGTAATCTCGCCTTTCACGTTAAAATGTTTTATCACATCAAATCTCTGTCAAATGACAAAAATGGAAAGGCTTACTTGTGCAGACTCTGGTCCTGGAGTTACATTGAGCCCGGTTGCAGCCATGTAGGTGCTACCGATGGTCTTTATCTTCTCCACTCCGCTGAACTTTGGCTTGGACAGCAGCTGTGAGCGCAAAAAAAAAAAACAGCAGAAAATTTTACGAGATGACCACCTTGCTTTGTGCTCCTTCCTTTTAGGAGCATTAGGAGAGTAGGCAACTCCTCCCCAGAATTCTGTTACATTCTTTGTCTTTTTTACTCGTCAGAAAGCCAAGATTATCAGTAAAAGATGGCTTTACCTCATCAAAGTCGGCTATGATCTCGTTGAGAAGTCGGAGGCACTCCAGTCCTTCCTTATTGACATCAGACTCGGTGTAAAATTCTTTGAAGTCCGGGATGGAGGCGAACATCACACACACCGAGTCGTACGACTGATGATAAAGGTCCTGATAACAAGCAAGAAGAAGATAACAGCTGGATGAGCCGTATCGAACAAGCACCCATGGCAGAAAGAGGAAGAGAAATGGCCTGTGGTCTCAGTGGGCCCATGACCCAAATGCCTCACTCTGAACACTGACACTTAGACGTTAAATAAATAGGAAGGAGCTGTAATCATCCCTGCAGGGACGCTGGGTCCCTGTGGCAAGCCGAAAAAAGAGAAGAGTTCACTTAAGTAAGAACGGAGCAGAGGTGAGAGCTGTAATCAAGAGGGGGTCATCTTTTATGACTTTGCTGCAAATGCTACAGAGAATAAAGAAAAGAAATCTGCAAGCAATCTGGAGGACAGATGGTAAAAATTTTACTTTTAAACAGGTTTATTTATTGCATATAACAGCACATTTTAAACAGGGCATGCACAAGGAGAAACGGGCGTGTGCATACTCTTGCACGTAGTTTTTTTTTTTAAGTGGAGAGGGCGGCTCTTTTAAAAAATCCTCCACAGTACATTTAAATATCTATTTAATTTCTTAAATAAACGTTTTAGACAGTATATTTGTGAAAGGACACAGAGATCCATCTCCACTAGCCGCTGGCTGGTTAGCTGGATCTATTTTTGCCCTGCCAGCACACAAAGTGAACACGGCTGTAGAGGAGGCACAGAAAAACCTCAAAGGCTTGCGGCAAACAGCAGCTCTCCATAACAACCGATACATGCCACATAATCCAGCCGGTTGGTTTGGAAAGCATGCCGGAGGAAGGCAAATTTCTGTCTTATCTTCACAAACTGAAAAAGAAATGCAGTGGCTCACTAAACGCTACCAGAACCAGAACTGTCTGCTTGGATTGATAGAGAGTTTTAAGCAACAAACATCAAGGAGAGTTTGGGATAAAACACAAGATGTGTGATAGCACCTAAAAAAACAGGCAGATCTCTTCCTCTGTTTAATCCAGAGGAGAATAAGAGCTGCATTTCTGGAAAAATAAAAAGGGTTCTATTTTTTTTTTAGCAAAGTATGAACCACAGATCAAACAACAACTCAATATGATGTGAGATTTTTTAATAATGTTGTCAGTGTGTGTTTATGAGGCTGCAATAAAAGAATTTAATTCAAGGCTTCGGACAAATTTTTATCAGGGCTGCCAATAAAACGACTAGACTATGCAGCGTGTTCAGGGATTATTGGCTATAGACTGGAAACCTGGAGCTTCTCTGGAGCCTTTGTTATAGAATAAATCTGAGAGTTTCAACGCAAGGTTCCCCCTCCCCAAGAGCGACAGCCACTGTGGTAAGTGGGTCACTGAGGAAGACAAGCGAGGCAGAGCTAACGCCTGAAGTGAAAGGCCCAGGTGCATTAAAAAATCCTTCGACTTCACTGAGGCATGGCTCGGTCAGACCCCAGGCATCATGGACACCGGAAAAAAAAAACGTTTTAATCAAGCCGAGTATCGCTCATTATTCTTTGTACCAAATGTATTGTCTTCTAAGCCCTTAGGATTGCTTTTCAACACATTTAACTCTGGCTACAAATGCACCTCCCAGGAATAAAGGCAAATAAAAGGAGGCACTGATATTTAAACATTATTAATGTTGCAGAAGTGGAAGATTCTGACTTGATCTAGCAAAAAAAGATAGAACCCGCTTCACTTCTGTGGATTTCCAGCCTCTGCAGGAATATATTGCTACACAATTACATCCCTATAGTGTGTTTAGCTGCAATAAAAGGCCAACAGATTATGTTATGAACTCTGCACACATTAGGAAATAAGTCAAGAGACCCGTGAAAAAAACAAGCCGTTGCTGTGAAAACAAACAGATCGACAAAGATCTGAAACAGGATGAAAGACACGGGTGATCCTTTAGTTTGATCTGCATCTCAAGTTTGATGGTTGGGAATACAGGTGCTAAAAAGCTTTTAGTTTATATCTAACTGTATTGATGTGAGTTTTTATCCATTCAGGTTAAGAAACGGAAACAAGATCCATCCCCTTGAATTTAGGACACTGAAAGATTCAGAAGTCAGAGTCAAGTAGCTCAAAGAAGAAAGAAAAAAATTTATTCTTTTTATAGTGAGCTGAAAAGCAAAGTGAAATCCTCGCAAGAAAAGTACTGAAAGAGGCTTATGGAATCCAAAGAGCTCTTCATCATTAACACTACAGAGAGTTTTTAGACGTTTTGGCCACTTGCAAGCAGAGAAAAATGCTTTTGTTGCTTCTTTCAGTAAGAAAAATGTATAAATTCTACTTATCACAAAAAGAATTAAACATTTCAAACAATTTAACTTGTATTACGGCTTATAGATGATGAAGAAACTAATTCCAGAGTCTTGGAAATTAATAATACTGTGAAAAGTTTAAATATCGTAAAATCTTAGTGTCACACCTCAATCAGCTAATTAAATTAAAACATCTACAAAGGTTTCCTCAGCTCCTAAGGGGCTCACATATAAGGGAAACAGCTGACATTGAAAAGAGACCCCCCACCCCCCTTTAGTCACTTTAGGTAACTGCTAAAGAAGCTGGTTATTCCCAGAGTTCTGTATAGCAGCCTATTCAAAGAAAGTTTAGTGGAAGAAAAAAGTGTGGCAGGAGAATGTACACCAGTAACGGGAAAATAGCAACACACTGAGAAGAGATTCAATTAACAATTTGGAGGAACTTCTCAAGTTCTGACTTAGGATGGAGTCGTAACATGAAGAGAGAGAAAAAAAAAAATCTACTTATGGCCTACAAATGTCGATTTCAGTCCTTCAAGCCCCTAAAGTCCCCTAACCTGGCTAAGTATGTTGAAAACTGGATTGGATTTCATGTGAAAACAATGTTAAAGAGTCATTAGATGCTGAAGTTAATCGATACCAAATCCATGTTGCTAGGAGATCAATGCGAAGTATCGCAGTCCATTTGCTTTGTCATCTGCTGGTGTTGGTCCTTCTCTGTTTTCCTACATTCACAGTCTACGGGAAAAATACAAAGGTACTTAATGCTTATTTAAGGAACCTCTACGGGACGAGAATTCATTTTCTAGAACGACTCTGCCAAGGATACAAAAAGCTGATTCTATGACCAGAGAGATTGGCAAAGTTAGAGGGATGGCAGAAAGTGGATAGGCACCAGAACCTCAGGGTCAATCTACACTGTTCCAACAGGAAAATTAATGAGCCTCCATATTTTCTAAATAAAGACAAAATATACTTTCCTACAGCCTTTGCTAACAAATGGACACATATATTTAAACATCAGTGCTTTCTAAATAAAAGGTATAGTGGATAAAATTCTTTCAGATTTTACTTACTTTTATCAATAATAATAATAATTGATGTTTACAAATACTAATATCTACATAAATGGATTATTTAATACTTCTTTTATTTAAATATTCATTAATCTATGATTTCACTGAAGACTACTAGATCATTTGATGAGACACATAATTTTTCTGTTTACCTCATAAAACACAAAATCTATTTCTGAAAAGAGCATGAATTATCATCTTTAAAGTTAGTATACTGATGTGCTTAATTAACTACAAAAAAACTGCTGCCACCATCTGCATTAGAGGGAAATAAAGGGTAGGCATGGCCACCCCAGGCCCCCTATCTAGCTCCGCCCCTGGGCAAAGTTCCATCATTTTGGCATCCACTGGGTAAATGGGTTTGGCTGTAATTTAAAGTCGTAGGGAAGCAGCTGTTCCAACCATTGCATTTCGGAATTCTCCCGTGTGGTCCATGACTTTACACGACTGAATAAAGTGAATGCGATTGGTTGATTATCAAGGGGGCGGGATAGTTGTGGCAGAAGGTTCGCAAGCAAGTTTGATTGTGGACGATTTGTCAGAAGCATCTTGCTAACCAGTTAGCAACTTAGTGCTAGTAGGTTCCCAATGGGAAATTCAATTGGGACCAAGTAGCACTAAATTGGTGACTTAAAAACAACACTGTCAAGGAATGCTATGGACAGAGGAAACATGTAAGAGGAGGAGAGTCATACATTTTTTATTTAGAGGAGGAGAGCAGGGACGAAGTTGTTGTGGAAAAGGACGCCAGGGCGGCAGAAGCTTTCAACCGTTGCGTATATTAGCTGCAAGATATTAATCAACTTGCTATGACAAAAAATTTGATTGACAGATGGCCGCTGAAATATGATTGGCCGAATTTAGGTATACAAGTTGATGTATAATTAACTGGCCTGCATAAAAAACGAAAAAAAAAAAAACAGATTTTAAGACAGGATTTTTTTTTAAATAGAAATTTTTATCAATTTTGGGAAAATATGGTCTGATAAAGAATACATTTATATACATGTTTAAGCCAGATTGATTTTACATTTAAATATGATTTCCCTACGACTCTAATATTCCTGCAGTGTGGGGACTATAGAGCTGATATTCGTGATGATGGTGCTGCTCTTGAAGCTCCTTGAAAATGTTATCAGCACAAAGAAAAATACTAAGAAGTTCGGTATCCATGCTTTGCCTGCTTTGTGTGTCAACTGTCACTGTTGCTAGGCGACAGAGTATACGATGAGTCAGGGAAGGTAAAAGCTGGACCTGAATCCAGAGTCAAACTCTTTCGGCCTCCTTTTTTTTTTAAGGATCTCCAAGGACCTGGTCTACCTGGACCGGATCCTTGGAGAACGCAGCCTCTGAAATTTGACACACCCAATGGGTCGGCCTCTTCCCTTCCCCGCAAAATGAAAGCAGTCATTGCTATGGCGACACATTAAAACATGATGAAATATTGGAAAATGTAAAGTGACTTTGCTCATTATGTTTTTTCCACCTCGTTTTTCCAGTTGCGTCCGAGGAAGTGCTCGGCCACATGCGCCGGTAAAACGTTCTCTAGCAGGACCCGGTTGAGGTTCTCCATGGTTTCAATCTCCTCACACTCTCTCTTGAACTTGTCCCTCCACAGGAAGTCCAGCCGACAGTAATATTCATTCTGTTATTGAGAAGAGGAGAGACTGTGTCATCACCCCTCCTCATGACGTCACTTGGACAAAAACCAAGAATACAAAAACACATTTAAACAGAAAAATTGTGGCTAAACAAACAATCATCTGCAAAAATATTAATACTTTCTCGACTTCTAGTAGGATTTTATGATAAATTGCATAACTAGTGTTATACTTTAGTTGTTTTCTGCTCTAAAACAAAGAGAACACATTTCATTGCAAGAAGTTTTCTCAGGCAGCGGCACAGTTGTGGGTACATGTTGTTTTACTTGATGGCTACAGTTTGAATACAATGTTTCCTTAAGGCTAAAAAAGGTTTTCAACTAATTCTACCTATGTTGTTTTACCCAAGTGAAATAAAGATACATAAGTACTTTTACTTTCCCAGTAATGGCAAACAAGTTAAGTTTTACTTAAGTGCTTTTCTTATCAGCATCTTTCACTTTTTTCAAAGTCAGTTTCTGTAAAAGATTTTAAAATTTCAGACTCAATCAAAACTTTTTTGTCATTTTGTATACACAGAGTGTGTACGAAACTACATTTCGATGCGTATAGCTAACCAGTGGGGTTAAAATTACACACATTTGTTACTTAAGTAGAAGTATAGATACTGCAGTTTAAAAACACTCTGGTAAATGTTGAAGTATCAACTTGACCTCTTCACTCAAGTAAAAGTAAAAACAGCTTAAAGTACGAAAGTATAAAGTAACCTTTAAAAAAAAACACAGCCAGATGCCACTATATGAATTGAAAGCTAAATTTTTTGACTATTTCTTAAAATTCTTCGAGATAGGGTCAAGGATGAGGGCGGTCTTGTTGGTCTCCGTCTCCCGATACGCTCTCGCCTGTGTCTGACCTTTCAGACATTTCAACATCTTTTTCTGAATCCGACATTGTAGCATGGCATAGAACCAAAGCCAAGAGTAACGAGTAACGTTTGTTTTAAAAATGTTAGGAATAGAAAGTACAGATACTTGTGTGAAAATGTAAAGAGTAGAAGTCAGAAGTAGGAGGAAAAATAAGTAATGGAGTAAAGTATAGATACCTAAAAAGTGTACTTAAGTGCAGTAACAGAGTATTTGTAATTCATTACTTGACACCTCTGCAGCTTACAACAATGAAATGAAAGAACATTAGTATAATAAAGCGCAGCAGTGATCAGAATGCCAGAATCAGAACCTATGTAAAAGTCATGGTGCAAAAGGCATTGAAAGGCGTTCAGTGCAGTGCAAATAAATAAATATGGTGCAAAATGCAGTAGAACATTGAGTTGTGTTCTATTTAAAGGGGTTATAAAAGAAAAAAACTTATCCGCTTTGGTAGTGTGAATATTATGTTTTTTTAGGTAAGTGTGATGCAGAGTCTTAATTAGAGTTTCAACAGTTCAACAGTTTGATGGCAGTGGGGAAGGAGCTGTTGCAGAACCTGCTGGTCCTGCATCGGATGCTGTGAAGCCTCCTCCCAGAGTAGTCAGGGGTCATTGATGATGTTACAGGCTCAGGACGCGCAACGCTGGGATGAAATGTCTTATATGGAGGGAAGAGAAGCTCCAATGATCCTCTCTGCTGTCCTCACCAACTTCTTCAAATATTTACAAGTCATGATTAAAGTTTGCTTTGTTATTTAAAAGAAATACTTTACACCTGTGGTATGAAGAGAACTGTTCAGTGTTCAAAATCTGCTTCTCTCTTTGGTCCGTTTCACATGAAAAGGAAAGAATTAGTTTTATTGGCAGAAGTTATTTGCTCTTTAAGAATAGTTGTAAACATGCCGTCAGTAAAAGTCTGAGTGGAGTCAGTTTCTTCATTCATCTGCAGTTGGTAAATCAGTGAAGTTTATGTTTGAGTGAATGGAAAAAAGTTTGTTCATATTTTTCACTTTTCAGACAAACTGCAAATATATTCACTTTTCTTCCCCATATAGACACACAGAAAGTAGTATATAGTTTTGTAAGGGAAGATGATGCGTATTTTTCATGATTACTTATGGTTCTAAATCAGACATTTTTTGGTGTGCATTTGTATTCAGCCTCTTTGGATCAGTACTTTCTAAAATATCTATTCAATAAAAACACTTCTGCGAGTCTCCATCGGCCTTGTGCATCTCCTGGATGCAAAATAGCTCAAAGTCATTCTGTAAGGATACATATTTGATAATACATTTTTTCTGGATTTGATTCAGGTGGAGGTATTCTTTTTTTTTTAAGTATCAAGACGTCCTGCTTCCTGTAAGCCTGCATTTACAGCAAGACATAAAGGAGGATGAAGACGTTCAAACTGACCTCAGACCTCATAAGAACAGGTTTCTGAATACAGCCTGCTGTGGCTTTCAGGTTAGGCTCATTGCTTCTCTGTTGCAGGTGGCTAAAATCCATTTTTCATACATTGCAACTACAAGGCAGGGGTACTGAAATGCTTGATATTCATGGAAAATTAGAGTCCCAATAGCGGGACGGCGAAACAATGTGAGAAGCAGCAGAGAGGACTGTTTTGCATAAAACATAGCTACTGCTTCTCTCTTTTCTTTTGAGTGCTTTTCGGTTATTCATGTTTGAGGTAGCTTTGAATACATCTGCATATGTTAGGAGGACTCATATACGAAGGTCAAGATGTCCTGAGGTTGCATGTTTGCGCCTCTTGTTCGATGAGGATCTCTATATCTGAAGGCTAGAAGTTTCTGGTGGGTGGGCTCCTATACTGTGTGTGGGTGTGTCCTGGGAGATGTAGTTGGTTAGCAGGCTCAACGATAAATAAATGCAGTGAAAACTCTTTTGCTGGTTTCCTACTTTTGAACTGATGTCTGTCGCTTGTGCTTGCATGTAAATGAGGAGAGGCTACCTCCATGAGTCTGGGAAAGTAGGCCAGGAGAAACGGAGCTCATTGTACATGCCGTTTAGAAAGCAGCTAAACGAGGCTGTAAATGAGTTTTGCTCCGCTGTGCAATCTTTTCTTGAGGGATGAATTACTGATGCCGTTTTTCTCCTAACCTGATTTCTCCTCCCTATGAAGAAAAGTTCTGGGAAAGACCTCATTAGAGCTGATAAGAGATTTTAGCAGGGAAAATTTGTTAATGGCTTTGTTTAAAGCGTGTAAAATCATTCAGAGCGCTGATGTGGACACTGCATAATCTGCTCAGGGCAACGCCTTGCAGTTAGCCCTGTTTTTTTATGTTCTAATTATTATTCTGATGGGAGACAGGGCGGATATCTGAAGGGGAGTTTTAAACATCCAAGTTGGGTCTTGATGACTAACACCGCCTTTTCTTTTCCTGACCCAGAACCAGAAGAACATGAGGAGCTGATATGAAGCTCTCGGGGGAGCTTCAGATATGCGTCCAGAATTGCCAGCACATCTGCTCTCAGTTCAGAGATGATTGATACTAATTGATTGATACTAACTGAAGTCATATTTTTAATCAAATACCAAAAAAAAAAAATAACACAAAAAAGACAAATGTCAGGAGTCTTTAAGAAATCGTCGTCTAAAGAAATCAAAGTGATTCCAGTTTCCTCTCTCCTTAGCTGGAGCTGAAGATGATCTTTAAATGCTGCGTGACCTAATTACATAGTTATGACTGCAGCAGCAGTAGCAGCAGCAGAGGAATAAAGTTTTATAGTTTCTCTGTGGGAGAAAGTTACTCACCTGTCTTGCTAAAACCAGTAGAGTGATGAAGAAGATGAACAGAGACACAGAGCCCATTGTCTTCAGATCCTTCAGCACACCTGGTCTAAAAAATACACAAATAAAAGATTATTTTTCAGGATTTCATTATAAGATGGTTTTAAATGCTGATATAACTAGAACATGTTTTCATAAACATGCCTCATTTATCTAATAGGAAAGCACTTTGATTTTACATCTGACTTTACTCTTTGAACACCCTCTCTCGCCCAAGCACCTCAGACTTCTCTTCTACTCACCCAACATGTCTTCTCTTCGAATTACATCCAGGAATTCATATGAATATGATGTGAAATTATTCGAGTGCCATGGGTTTGGTTCTGTTCAAGTTTTATCTCTGAGTCTTATTTTTGTCCGTCTCCTTTTCCCTTACCTCCCTTCTTGCCTCCTCTGTTCACCCCTGCTCCCAATCTGCTAATCAGCCTGGACTTTATTTTTCTCTGCCATATATTCTCCTCCTGTTCTGTCACTCTTAGCTGGTTTGTTGTCATTTCTTTGCCCCCTTCTTGTTGTGAGTATTCCTGGTTTTCAGCATTTTTTGGATTGGACTGTTGAACCCTTTTGGATAATAAATCTGCAAGTAACATCCTTTAGCTTCGGTCTGCATTTGGGTCCTCCTTCAAACCTCCACCTCACTGTGACATCAATAGAATATTACTAGGTCTTGAGAACCATTTATTTTATTTAATACATTTTGCATATCGTTCTGCTCCTGTGAACCAACGCACTATTCATTTTCAGGTTAGGTCTGCAGGTTGTTATCTCGATTTATCGTCTCTAAAACCATGGACTCTAACAGGGTTTGGTATGAGATGCTTTCCCATATGTTCATCATGTGTTTTATCAAAGGACAAAAAACAAACTTCCTGGAGGTTGTTCAATTAAGTGGTAAATGACCTGAAGTTATATTAACGCTTTGGTTGTTAGGTTGCATTAAAGCCACAGCCTGCATGGGGCACACTGGCAGGGGGAGGAGCCTGGCATCACCTGCAGCAAGAGAGGCGGATGAGGGTTTTCACCATATTACACGACTTGGACCAACAACCATCTGGCTAACAGATGAACTCTTCTTGAAACTTTGGAGAATCAGTGGCTCAGGAGCAGAGGCAGTTCCTGGACATTTAAAAAGGGGTGACCACTGTTCACTGAAAACTATTGGGTGCTGAAGAAAGTCAATCTACTGTTTACTGATTGGAATCAACCAAGAGGGAAATTAATTATATAGAAGACCCCTTGAAGACTGCAGAGACAAAAACTCCCGGAAAAAACTTTAAAAGAAATTCGTGAAAAAGCATGATTTCTGTATTAGTCGCGTTTAAATCTAGTTTAATTTTGTGAATCATTATAGCTGTATTTTTGTTGTTAGTTTTTGGTTAATATTGTAAGTAGGATATTCTTCATATTGGGATCACTACTGCCACCCTTTGGTTTGGAAGAGAACTTCTCCTTGAACCTCAGTCGGCCTCAGCAGATGGCTGCTCACACTGAGCCTGGTTCTGCTGGAGGTTTCTTCCTGTTAAAAGGGAGTTTTTCCTCTCCACTGTCGCTTCAAGCATGCTTATTGTGAGTGATTGCCTTTGAATCAATGAGTTGATGCAATCAACTGGCTTTCCTTAGATAGAACACTTAGAATCAATTTGACTGGATGATCTGGTTGAATTATAAAGTGTCTTTAGATGACATGTGTTGTAGAAATAAACTGATTTGAATTTAACTTCTTGTTCCAGATGTGGTGGATAATTACAAATAATTTAGAGCAATAATATGCTGCTTTAATACATGCAAAATTTTAAAAGAAGGCTTTTTAAAACAGTTTTAAGCAAGTGAAGGTCATTATGATTTAAGTGCAAACCATTGGATTAGTTTGTTACCAGGTATAGGCAATTAACTGCATGTTTGTTGACATGTATTCACTGTTTTATGTTATTAATAAAATAAAAGATTCATATAAAAGTTGAAATGTGGAAAAAATCAGATTTAAGAGGCAGCTTCTGTGGAAACAGCAGCACGCCAGCTTCTCTGTGCTTAGAAAACTTTCAAGATGTTTTTTTTTGCCATTTTACCCCAGTTGTCAATCAAATGCAAAAGCGAATCCTTCTCCATCAACAGCAGCAGCATTATCTCTTCCTGCCACTCATCCTCCCTCCTTTTCCAGCAGTGGAGCTCAACTGACAGCAGAATGGGACGATGCCAGCTCTGCTGCAGACCTTCTTCTCTTAATAGGCTGGGGTTAACTGATGCTGGCAGGCTGCAGGTTCGGAGGAGGATTACACCGACCTCTGCAGCTCCCAACCGATTCTCAGTTAGTAAATGTAAAAGGTGGTGGGGGAGGGGGTGGAGGTGGGGGCAGTTACCTGCCGGACTTGTCTGTGGGGTACAGAGCTTTGTTGAAACCATCCAGCAAGGAGGCATGAGTCTGCAGGATGATGATGTTGTAGATCACCACGGCGACCAGCATCACTACCATCTTCAGCTCGTAGTTGATCCTCAGGAATACCGAGCAGGAGACCAGGCCCAGAATACAGCAGTAGATGAAGTACTGGAGATGGAGATTACAGAAGAAATCATTTTCTAAAATCACCATTCATAGAAAACTGATTTGGAGATTAATAATACTTTAAATACACGATTTGGAGTTGTTGGAGTTGTTAAGGTGATATAAAGGATCCCTTTTCAATTAGCATTCTGATTATTTTTTCTATAAATTAGACTAATATGTTCACACAGGCTCAATTATTGGATACAATGTCTTGCAAAAGCATTTACTCATAAATGAACAGGCCTTATTTTTATATCTACAATCAATATCCATAATATTATGTACCGTGTTTTCCAGACTATAGAGCGCACTCCCCGGGCTATGCTGCTGATTTCTACTGAACTGTCTCCCATCAAACCTGTAGGGGGAGCGCTACATATATCCCCTGGAGTAGGGACTAAGAAGGATGCTAACTACTGTCAGCATGTGGCTCGCAGCAGTAAGAGCTGCACTACCCGATCCGCCCCGATGCTTCCGGGTTGCCCTCCATTTTATTTTGTTAAAAAGACCTAAATTAAGTTTTACCCTCCCCCAAAATAGTAAACATACTAAAATATAATGTGTTAAAGGTTAATAATGTATTTCCTGAGAAAATACATTCCTTAAAATCCTTTCTGTATTATCAGTCGTCTCTGCCCAATCTGCACCGGAAATGGGATCCCATGCTACTTCTGGGAGCTAACTTTTTCAGGTTTGGATTTAGACATACATTAAATCTAGTCTTTTTGATTTTTATATTTTCCTTTCATGTTAACATTATGATATATAGTGCATATAAAGAAATAAACAACTAAAATGCAGATCAACATTTCTGATAATAATGTCAGAGAAAAAGTTTAACAAAAAAAAAAACGCATCAAAATTCTCTCACAAAAGTCAGAAAACATTTTTTTTTAAATGTGTATAAGCAGTGTTTAGTGTTAGGGATAGAAATAAGCCATTTTAGTACCATAATTACATTATTTATGGCAGTGGTGTCAAAAGTACACACATTTGTTACTTAAGTAGAAGTATAGATACTACAGTTTAAAAAGACTCTGGTAAAAGTTGAAGTATCAACTTGACCTCTTTACTCAAGTAAAAGTAAAAACAGCTTAAAGTACGAAAGTATAAAGTAACCTTAAAAAAACAACAGCCAGATGCCACTATATGAATTGAAAGCTCAATAATTTGACTTTTTTCCGAAAATTCTTTGAGATAGGGCCAAGGATGAGGGAGGTCATGTTGGTCTCCATCTCCCGATACGCTCTCGCCTGTGTCCGACCTTTCAGACATTTCAACATCTTTTTCTGAATTCATCATTGTAGCATGGCATAGACAATTCATGTTAGCAGTTTGAGGAACACCTGCTTGCTTCTCATGATTTCCTTTAGCTAACCAATGAGTGTTTGCGTTATATGACTCAACCGATTACACTAGTTTATGTAGTAGATGTGGATGGAGCCAAAGATCTGCACTGGATGGAGCACATAACGTGAAATAAATATTTATAAACATTAAACTGAAGAGTAACGAGTAATAGTTGTTTTAAAAATGGAATAGAAAGTACAGATACTTGTGTGAAAATGTAATGAGTATAAGTCAGAAGTAGGAAGATAAATAAGCAGTTCTGGACACTTGGATGTATATCTGTTCGTGCATGCGCAGAACGGATTGTGCTTCCAGGACGGATCGGTTAGTGACAAGAGCCTCTACTGAAAGACAGGGTTCTTCAGCTCTTTATTTCAGCTCTGCAGGAGTGGAGCCTAGTCTCTTTATTGGTTCGGCAGCTTTAATGTGCAATAAATGTCAAAAGGTATGAATTGTGGACATTTGTTCTCGGTGGTGTCTGCTGCTAGCATGTTCTCGTGCTAAATGAAAATTTGCCCCTAATTTTTTCATTTAGCAACTTTGACTTCCCCCTTTTACGGTTAGGTAAAAATCCTTCTTATAAACAACATGGTTCAAAGCGTTGGAAAAAAGTTACGACTTGAAACCAGACAATAAGGTATGTTGCCAATTTTCGTTCAAACAAACAATTTTCCCAATAATCTTAGTATTCTATTAATGGTAAATTCTTCTTTTTTTGTGTCTCAAAATAACAAAATGTGTGTTTTATTTTTCTATATTTTAACCGGTTTATAACCAAAAACCTTGCTGGATTTTATGATATGATGAAATTACACAAAAGATTGTATTTAAGTGTAAAATGGAAGAGAAAAATACTGCATGGTTTTTGACCTTTTAAGCATATGATGTTAAATTTGGCATCTACAGCTCAGGCAGAGAATCATAATTCAACAGGCTTAAGGTTCAACGTGGTGAGTGTCACAAAAACACCAACACCTTGCACCATTCAACATCTCAAGAGTGAAACAGAGTGGCGACATCATGCTGTGGGGGGAATCTTTTACTGCAGAGACAGACAAAGGTAGTCAGGGCTGATTGGATACCAGGGCAAACTTTAGAGGCTATAAAAGCCTTGGTAGGGATGTTAGGTTCACCTTCTAGCTGGACAACAACCCTAAACATCAACCAGAATAACAGTTTAAAGCCTGAAAATAAAACCCAGCTCAAAATCTTAAGACTTAAACAGTCCTGATCATTAAAAAATTTGGGCAAAATGATCACAAGAAAAAAAATCACTAGAATATTTGAAGCTGGAAAGGAGCGCAATGGGCTGAAAGCAAATGCTAATTGTCTGATTGCTTTGGAAAAAATGCAGAACAAAAGCATCTAATTTTGATTCTACTTTACAATTATGAGCTGCTCTTTTTGTAGCTTAAAATAATAATAAAAAAAGGAAAAATATCCAAAACAGGTCCCATTTCTGACACTTACCGGCAGGTAAAACTTGTTTTTGTCCTCCAAGTACTCAGACCGGCTATTATTGGATGCATTCAGAGGAAGCGCAGTTGTTTGGATGTCGGCAGCAGACCCTCCAGGATCCTCCACAAAAAACTGACAAACAAGATCGGAAGCAATCAGAGGCTAAACGTCACGGTGAATTACTGCAGAACAATGAGTCCAGATAAGCAGATCTGAGTGTGATAAAAAAAAAAAACTTCGAAAACACTTCAAGTTAAAATTGCAGAACACTTTAAATTCAAAGATCACAATGTTCCCTTTATTTAAGGCTTGCTCATTAAACTGTTCATCAGTCATTTTTAAATTCCCTACAACCTGCAGCTATTGTAAAACTGTGTCATGTTCAGATGGGGAGATGAAAAAGAAGAGAAATTATCAGGAGTTACTTTTACCTCGCTGGTTTCTGCAGCGTATTGAACTTGTGTCAGTCAGCTGTTAAACAGATTAGTTTTATTATGAGCTGATTACAGCAGCTTACCAACAGTAGAATTAATCACTCTAGAATAATCCTACTTGATGGGATCAACATAGACATAATCACTAAAAAAATCTACTTTAGATCGAGTCCACAGAGTGACTGAGGCACCGCAGCTGTTATTAAGCTCCAAATGATCTGAGAGCTCCTCACTGTTCTCCTGAATGAGTGCAGAGACTTCGTGTCAATAATGAGGTCAAGTTCAGCGCTTGCTTCAGCTGTGAAGCACCCGAACCACAGGAACTGACTCCTCCACTTGGCTGCAGCGATCTCAGGGCTGATTCATGGCTTCGCTGTGTTCAGATCTTCAGGAAATGTTGTGTGGAGGAGAGAAATATGTGATGCACCGCTGCTTTTGTTACTCGGCAACATCAGCCTCTCCTGCAGGTGTTCTGGAACGTTCAAGTTTCTTTTTAAATTCCTTTCCAAACGTCTGATTGTCACTTGAGAATTAGTCATCATTAACCTAGAAGGGTTTTTTGCTGTGCAGTAGTTATGATTTACACTTGATGCTGGCAGCAGCTTCTCCGTTTGGTGCAGGAATTCAAATATTCTTCTAAGCATTGATTTATTTTTAGCATATTTGCTGCCACCTATAATTTATTCAAAGTTTGATTCATTTATGCGGATTGCTGTCCCAGTCAGAGGTTTAAATCCAGGCAGGAAATTCAGATTAATTTTGGCTAACAATGAATTATTAAACATATTAAGGTGTATTAATAAAAAACACTCTTGCAATTTTGGTTAAAAGAAAGTTAACATTATTGCTTTTTTGTTCAAATAATTAAAGTGCTGGAAAAAAAAATTATGTGACGCTTTGATGTTTTTATCAAATTAAATTCCAAAGGTTTATTTCAAACGATGGCTTTATTCAAATAATCTCCCCATCCTTTTATGGTATATAAGTAATGATGCCAGATGCTACATCATAAAGGAGCTGTAACTAATCACATTCCTTCAGAAGCTGAGTTCAGTTTAAGCAGCTGGACTCAGGCTGGATCACTGTCAGACCTGGAGGACCCAGAAACGTTCAAAGTCTGACAAATGAAGTAGGTTAAAGGATCTTTAAGCGACAGCTTCCCATCCCAGCCTGAAGAAATACATTAGCATTAATCTGTGTCATCTTTAGGTCTGGAAAGACTTACTAAGCTGCTTCAGAGGCTGTTGGACCTTAAACAGGATGTCCAGATGTCCTGATTTGTCCAAATTTTTCACCTATGTCCTATAAATTAAAACAATGTCATGTACTTGAATATTAGAAAAAAGGTGTAAATGCACACATTTCTGTTCTCTGAGGTACATTTTGGACTTGTGTACCCCTATAGGGCTCATAATTGAAGTTTAAAGGTTTTGTGGAGGATTTTTTCGCGAATTTCTGCAAAGACCCGCCGTCTCCACTTAAAACAAATGCACAGGCACAACCCTGTACGTGCGAGAGTGTGCACAAGCCCATTTCTCCTGGTGCGCGCTCTGTTTAAAAGATGCTGTTCTCATAGCTCATACAATCTTTTTGTGTCCGAACGTCCATCTTAACCCCTAAATACCTCATTTGTGAAGGCCCAAATTACATAGGGCGAGGACTATATAGTGGACATATAGTGAACTTAGTTAACTGACCGTTCGGACAGATGATCACTGTTTTTTACTCCCCCGTTGGTCACATAACTCCTCGTTCACTAGGCGATCTTTGTTATTTACAGCCACTGTTGGGTAGTGACAGCAAATCCCATCATTCTTTGCAAGGAGAGCTCTCCGTGCAAAGCGTTCTGGGATATATGTGATTCTTCTGAGGTCTTTTTTTTTTTCCTCTTAAACTTCATAGACACCTTTTTTCTTATGACCCTTGGCTGTTTTGAAAGAACCGCGGTGAAAAAGGTGAGTTTCAATGACTGAAACTCACCTTTTCCCCGCTGTGCTGAAGCGGGGAATGCTCTAAAACCTGCAGGACACCAGCCCTCGAGGACCGACTTTGGGGATGCCTATTCTAGAACAATCCTGATGCAAACTGCAGGAACTGCAGTATCACAGCCTATTTCTGCATCATTTAGATGGTCTGATTATTCCCAAAGATAACCCTGAAAGTACTACCCGTAGATTTCATAAAACAGAACCCAAAGTTTAATGCATTGGCCTTCTATAAATATCACATATGAAGTATTTCTCCAGCTGCCTGCACATCACACACACTCCCATGAGCAACAGAGGGAAAAACATTCAGCATTTGCAACATTTTAAACAACGTCTCACCATATTGAACACAGCCATCACCAGTATGACAGCCGTAGTCGTCATGGTGAGGACCAATCGCAGCCAGGGGTTGTTGGTGACGATGATGCGAGAGGAAGCTGGGAGCCAAGGCACAGAGCAGAAGGACCCCTTCCCTCCCTGCTGTGGACGCAAGGAGACAAGAATATTGACTCAAGACATTATTTTTCGCTCGCCCTGGTAAAAAAAACTGAAAGTAAATCTACATTTTAAATATAATATCTCTCTGAAAACCGAAGACGGGTGGAAAATCCATGTGGAGAAAAACAAGGTCAATGTTTTAAATAGTTCTAAAGCAAATAAAATACGAGAATGTGTAAAGTGCCTCATTCCCAGTGTTAAACATGGTGGAGGATCTGTGGTGCTGAGGACCAGATTCTCCCCCTGACCTTAAGGGAATCTTATTAGAAGACATTACAACATAAACCGAAATACATGAATGGAAAAATATAAAAGTGGTCATCGTCATTCAAGGCAGTAAAGCGTACGGCAAAATCAACCCAGAAACGGTTAATCAGAAACAAAATCAAACATCCACAAACAAAAGTTTTCCTCCCAGAATAAAAGAACTCAGTTTAAGGTTTGACTCCTCTGCATGTTCAGCGTGAAATAAAGCTGCTGCAATAAAATAAGAAAGGAATTAATTTCACATCTTCTTATACACTTTTAACAGGGCTGCCAATAGTTGTGTTCAGCACTGTGAATTATATGATTTAAAAAAGGTTTAACTTTTTATTTTCTAATAAAAAAACTTTGGACTGAGTTGCTTTTGTTATCAAAGTGTTATTCTGGGTATTGTGTTGGATTAATTTTTTTCTTTTCAGTCCAGAAGTGTGACTATTACCTATTATTGCTCACTCTTTAACGCAGCATGTTCACACTGCATGAGCTCTAACAGATCTCACACTCTTTTATTGGTTTCCTGCTAAAGGAAGCTTTTAAACGAGAAAGGAGGAAAATTAGTGAAGCTCAGTATATATACTTATATATAGATATATATATATTTTTTTTAGAGTTAGATTTTTAAAAATTCTGATAACACCTTGATTTATTTTTTAGCTGAAGGATTTAAAAGCTGTCTTTCCATCCTTTGAGACGGTGCCTTCGCTCAGCAACAGCTCGGCTAATTTAGTCTGAGAGGTCAGTTTTCTGAGAAACTGGGTTTGATCACAGTAAGCGTGTAATGAACTCATCCTCAGATGTACAGAGAAAGTTCTTCAGCAATAATGTGGCTCATTAATAATGACGTCCATGAAGCCAACCAGAGATAAAACACACACGCACTGTTTGAGACATGCTTTCTTGTTAGCCAATTAGCTGATCCTTCAGCAGAGACCGTTTGGGGGGAGGGAGGGGATATATCGACCGTTAAAATGATTTGCAAATTCATCGAACCTGATCTTTTGCCCCTGCCTGCTGTTCCTAATTAAACTGCATAGCAGTACCAACTCCTGGGATAGGAAAGACCCAAGGTTATTGGTAATCCTCCTAGCAATTAAAACTGACCCACTTACTGGGGGATGCCACTCTCCTGGGGAGTAAGATGGAAATGAGGGGTTCTGAACGAGGATATTTTATTGATCGCTAGTGAAACTCCAGAGACGTGCTCCACTCATGCTGAATTGAGATGGTGCTTTGTTGAGCACGATGGTGAAGATTCTTATTCAGGTCATAGTCATTCCAAGAAAGATATAATCCACTGGACTTTGATTCCAAGTTTGAAGACGTTTCGCTTCCGATCCAGGAAGCTTTTTCAACTCAAAACGACCCCCTTTCAAAGGAATAGACCAGTATTGGGTATTCCAGGCTAACAAAAGATCTCAACAACTCCCCGTTCCTAAGGGACAGACCATTTTTCCGTTTCAATTTGCATTTTTTCAAAGTCAAAAAGGGTTTTGGCTACTCTATAAGGCTTCAAACTCAAAGCTAACTCTCACATTTTGAATTAAAAAAGTATTTTTGAAGAAAAATAACCTTTACACACACAACATGATACACAACTATTTTCCAAAACTATTGGATCGTTCTTCCAAAATCATTAATAATGTCACTTTAATAATAATTATAATAATTCAGTCACTTTAATGTCTGAAGGGGGATAGAATTCAGCACCTCAGCATTTAAGATGTTCCTACAGATGCTATGAAAGAATAGGTCACGTTCAGCGGCATGCCACCCTAAATGCAACCCACGAGTGCAATGAGTTTGTAAAAAAAATGCAGCTTTTGCATTTGGGTTTAGTATGCAAATCTTGAATTTGAAAAATGCTATGCAATAATTTGGGAATTCCTTGAACAGAACCGACATCCATGAGCTGCGAAAGAGGATTCTTTAGATGTGAAAATGATTACTTTAGGTTGCTTTTCTCAGAATCCACAGAGCAAATGCAATGATGCTTTATATTTTCAGAGATACATCAGCTTTCTTTTTCAGTCATCTGAGATGAAACATTGCAGAGGAAGAAAAATGTGTTGTTGAATGAGTAAAAGCATGTATTTTTTTATTACTATAATATGGATCCATTTTGTTATGTTATGTTAAAGAGTGCTCAGTCACCTGCAGTCCTGACATGTTTGCATTAAGAATGGACAAAAATAAAGCCTCACAGCTTTGATCTCTGACTGTCCTAAGAGCAAAAACTTTTAATTGGACTCAAACAGAAAACAACAAATAAGAAGCTGCAAAAGTTTTGAAATTAGTTCATCAAACAATATTAGTTAAAAACAAAGAATGAGATGCTTTAGCTCTCTTTGTTTCTCATTTTGAATCAAACTAATAAGGAAAGAATATCCAGAAATGTGTATAAAGGCTAAAATCCTCCATAGGCTCTTTGTCTTACACTGCAAGGCTCTAAAACGACAACTTACTGCAAATAATTAATGAAAGCCTGAGGTTTCATCTCATGATAGTACAAAACTTGAATGTGTCCAGAGATCGACATTTGACTTGGATCTTATGAGCCGACGTGCTCAGTGATTTCTACTGTTCCAGAGGACCAGATATGGAGATTGGCGGTGAAGGCATGAAATCATTTATTCATGAGAGTCGGCTCTTCGGGGCTTCTCAGTTCCTGAATGAATGCAGAGCAGATTTCTTCATATGCTTTAGCCACTGCATGGATTTCTATAAATTTACTGTAAAACTTTAAATGTTTTCAGATGCGATTTGAATCAGAATTACAGAATAGGAGAGAAGAAATGGTTTAAACATATAAATCTGAGTTTTTAAGTGTTTGTAAGATAATTCACATACATAAACAGTGGATAAAAAGGTTAAAATGTCAAAATAGTTTAACAATTCAGGTGGAATAAGGTGACTTTAGTTTACATTTAGTTTTAGAATAGTAAAAGAAACATAAGCCAACAATGTTTGCTTCTTTTATCTCTTTAGCTGTTTTCATCTAATCAAAATCTGACTCATAATAATTGTCTTATCAGGCCTTCTTACTCTCATAAAGCTCAAACATAGTTTAGTGTTTTATTAAGAGGCTCAAAGCTCTGGAACATCCTTTCTACATCACTCACAGATTTCTAAAAACAAAACAGAAAAACAAAAACAAATCCCAGTTAAAATAGAATAAAATTGCTGCTGCTAAGTTTCCTAAATTTTTCAAATGGGTTCATGCTCTAAATGCAACTTGAAATTGTTTTATCCTCATATAATAATACATATATGTTTTTAAATTGTTAAATATAATTTTTTTTATCAATAAGAAAACTTATTTTTTTCTCTTTTTAGTTGACAATGTACAAGAGTTGCAGCACCTTTCAAAGGTTCGTAACTTGTCTTAATGGGAAAAAACTGAAAAAAAATCTGATCCAAGCTTATTTCTTTCCTTTTCATTTAAAAGCCCCAAAAATATATGTTCTTAATCAATGAGATGATTTCTGCTTTATTTTATGACTTCTAAAGACTTTACACAACTGACTTGAACTTGATTGGACTTGAACTTGTTTATTTAACAACACTTGATATTTTACCCCAAATCTAAAATTTAAGACACCTATTATTTGAAGTGTACAACAGTAATTCATACACTCATCCCATATTAAAGAACACGGTCTGTCTTTCTACACGCCAATCAAATGAAACAGATTCATAAAATGATCCAAATATGATCCAAATATGCTTCCAAGAGTAAAAAGCAAATAAATTGCAATGTGCAAAGCATGCATGAAGAAAATCAAATAAGAAGAGGAAACAACTTTAAAGACATTTAAAGTTGGATGAAGATCACAGGATGGGCTACTTTTCTTTAACTTTGTTTGGCTTGCAAGTGCACTGGTTGAATCACATGTTGGGTCAAAAATACAGGTTTAAAAAAGGACTTCAAATCCAAAGCATCACACTTGGGACAACTTTTGGATAAAAAACTTAAAACTAACTTGAGATTCGCAAAACAGTGAGTTGGTCCTACAAGTGTTATGTGGGTCTATATTTGTGTTTGAACTGGTTTATGCTACAAGTTTAGATTATTTGAGGGTTTTATGGCACCCAAACCCAGTCTTAATGCAATGGACTTTATTTTTTTAGGGTTAAGGTTTTTTTCTTTCACGTCCCGTCCTCTGGACGTGTCAGATTGTGTGGAGGTTTTAGAGGACCCAAATACAGAGATAAGGAGACAGAGATAAGTTTAGCTGATTTAATAGAGGTTCAAGAGGCAACAGAGGCAAAAATCCAGGGACACAATAACAGACCAAAAAAAAAACAAGAGATGCCAGGGAGCAACAACAAACGTGGAGCAAGCATTGAAGCAACAAAACAACATACCAGCACAGAGGAACTGGAGGGGGGGGTGTATATATGGTGAACAGAACAAAGAAAGGGCTACGAGCTGATATGGAGCAGATGTGGACAGAAGTGACTAGAAGGGAGCAAAGGGGGAGAGGAAAACTGGCACAAGGGGGCAGCAGAGAGTAACACAGAAACACAATACTGCTTAAAAATGACTACAAAACAAAAAAAGCTACAATCACAAAACATTTTAAAGAAACAATTACAGAATTACATTAATTAAAATGTTAATGAAAACTCAAAAAGCCCACAAAGGCCAGGATCATGACAGGACCTATGTAGTGCCTCCGAATTTTGCAGCCTCATACTGAAACAATAAAGCCACTTTT